CGTATTTCGCGTACGTCGGGCCCCGGCCTTTCTTATCGTAATAAATACGTAAAGCGCTTACGTAGCGACGATAGGGGAAGGCGCGGGCGCCCGCCGGGCGGGTAGCGACCGAGCGAGAAGTAGTAACCGTACGCGGGACGGTAGCCGTACGCGAAGTAATAAGAGTTTAGGGAAAGGCGGTAGCCTCCGGGAAGGCAGGCTCCTCGGCGGCGGGCTCTTCGGCGGCGGGTTTTACGGCGGCGGGCTTAAGGCTAAGGGGAAGGCTTTCTCGCTATAAAACCGATTAATACGTAACTAAGCGAAAGGAATAGTAAAACGAAAGAGGTTAGCCTTATTAAGGCCGCTACGGTAGCGATATTACTTACGTTATTATTATTACCCTTATCGGCGGGAGGGGTAAGCGTAAGGCGTCGTATTAAGCGACGGAAGGTAAGAACGGAAAGACCTAAGGGGTCGGGAAACGAAGAAAAGGATATCTATTAATATTACGTTAGCTAGAAATTAATCGAATACCCTACGGAACGCGCGAGCTAAAAGGAAAGCTATATTCCGACGAAATACGGCCTTAATAATAATATAGTAACGACGAATAGCCGTAGAGGAGGAGGTTTACCTACGTTAGTTAAGGTAGCGGGGGCGGGAGAGCTATTATTATTATAAGAGGAAGAGAGAAATAAAAGAAGGAATAAGAGGAAGGTTAATTAATTAAAAAGGGGAGGGAACGCTACTAACTAAGAACGATTCGAATACCTTAATTAACGGAAAGGGAAGCTTATATAATAAGCTACGCCTAGTTATAAAACCTTAGTTAGTATAATACTAGGATACGTAACCGCTCCTCCCGTATATAGCTAGCTCCTAAAGGCGCGGCCTTAGTAGAGCGTACCTTTCTTCCTTTTCCTCCTCGTATAGCTTTATTCCTTTAATTTATATCCTTTTACCTAGCGAACAGCTCTTAAAACCGTAATAAAGCTTTAGCTTTCCGGCTAAATAATAATATACTATCCTACGTACTTATTCTAGAGATTCCTTACTCTAATATACGTAAAATAAAATATAATAAGCGATCGGTTCTTCTTTACGCTTAACTTAGGTAATAATCGATCCTAAAACTAATATTAACTCCGGCTTATCCGGGTTTCCGTTCTCGAAGTAATATAATCGCTTATTACTCCTATAGTAAAACCGATTCTAGGTTATATCCATTAATAGCGGGTAACGGCTATAGTTATAAAGCCGATCGAAAGTACTATAAAACTAACATTCGAATTCCCTATAGTTACTCGTCTAGGTTAATAAAATCCTATTACGTATGCCTCGGTAGTCTAATATAGTACTACGTCTAAAGCTTATTAAGGTCCTTCCGTTAGTTTATAGGTTATAAAGACTTAGGTTCCGAACCGCGTTTACTAGGAACGGGTTTTCTTATTAATATTATTAATCGACGCCGTACGTATCCTTAAGGCTATAAGAACTACTATCCTAACGGTAGTTCTACGAAGTTATCTTTATTTCTAAAGCGTTAAATCGGTCGTAAAAGGCCTATATACTAGCTTCCTAACTAATATTTAAATAACCGTAAAAGGATCTAAGCTACGAAAAAGGCGGTAGCTAAGGCATCTAAAGGTTAAGAGTCGTTAATCGTTAAACTATTTACATTATAAGCTTCTCGGATTCTTCGAAAGTTACCGTTTTCTACTATCGTCGTTCTTCGGCTTAGGTCCTATCGGTAATTTATACCACTATACGACGTTCCGCCTACTTATAAAGCTAGATATAAAGAGTCCGGTAATCGATATCCCCGATCTTATTATAGTTATAGTTTCCCGTCTTATAGAATTTTATAATTAAGGATATCCGAAGTTTATCGGTTAAGTATCCTACTTTCTAAGGAAGCTTTCCGTTATCGTTTACGAGCTTAAAAAGGCGTTCATAGTTTATAAAATACGTAAAAATCGCCTTAAGATCGTTAATTACGTTACCTCGTTTTAGCTATACGAGTTTACGTTTAACGTTAACTTAACCTAGTTTATCGGTAATCCTAAAACGATACTTTAGGATTATAACGATAACTCTCTAGATCGTTTAATCCTTCGTAACGTCGTTAATACGCTCCCTAATAATCTTAATCGTAATCTATTCGCCGATCTCCTTAATCTTATCGTCGTCGCTTATACGGTAACGGTTAAATAATCGATCTACCCTTTCTAACTATTAGGTTACGTTATATTTATTAAACTTAAGCCTAAGGTAATCGATAAGGTTAGGAAATCTAATAACTAGCATTACGATAATCGGGATAGCTACCGGTATATTCTAGCTACTAAAGGCCCCGTTATTATTATTCTAAAATAATACCATAGGAATTAGCGGAATAAGTATAAAGCCGCGAATAAGGGGTAACTAAGTAAGAGTTTTATCGTCGTCCTCCTTTTCTTCGGGCGGATATAAAAACGAAAAACTAGTATCGACTCTTAAGGTCTTTACTAATAATTTAATCTTTATTACTTCGGATCCTAACGGCGATTTATTCCGTTTCCTAGCTACGGACTCCGTTTAATCTATCGGTACGAGGTATAAAGTAAAAAGGAGAGTAGTAAAGGTCTTATTATCTAATATAAAGGTAAAGATATAATAGCTATTATCTATATCCTAATACTTTTCCTCTAGTATAAGCATATTACTATCCATTATACTATCCCGATCGATAAAATCCGGGTACTATACGAGCTTTTCTAATCGGCTAACGCCTAATTAAAATACGATACGTATTCCCTAAATTAATAATTTAACTATTATAAATAAATCGACGATAATCCCTCCTATTAAGGTCTAGAACTCCTAACGTATAACCTTCGTTAAGGTAATACGTATAAGGGATAAATCCCGAGTAAAGAATCGCGCTAGATACGATACCGGTTATAACCATAAGCCGGTCTCGATCTAACGGAAGCTATTTAATAATATTAACGGTATTACCGCTAGGCGCCGTTTTACGCCTATATTAATACTTCTCGCCATACTAGCTATTAATTAATAATATAAGGCTAGCCTATATATAAATATACCTATTAACTCGACTCTAGTTCCGTTTCTTTAATCCTCTATATCTACGTAGTCCTATTAATATTAATTCCTAATTCTCTTTAAAACTATCGGTTACTAATAACTATTAGTCTATTAATTCCTATCTATACTATTAATATAAATATTCATATTATATCGTATACTATATCGTCGAATCGCTACGCCTAGGTATCCTAAAATGCCTCTAATATAATAAGTTATTAATATCTATATATTTAATCTATATCGATTAATAGGTTTAGAAAGAAAAGGAAGCTATCGTAAAGTCGGTTAAGGTATAATTATTATTAGCCTTTATCCGCCTTTAATATTAATAAAGGAGTAGCAGGTCGTATAAGTTATCGTAATTTATACTAAGGCGCTCGTACGTCCTCTATATAATAGGTAGATAATTATAAGGGAGCTACCCTAATCGCTATAAGCGCTATTTACTCGCGCGAAATATACTATACTATTAGCGGTTCGAGGGAGCGGTTAATATCGAAGGCTAAATATTATTCCTAATAACGGTAATATTACGACGAAAGTTCTCCGGGTTTTACGGGTTCCTCCGTATAATAAATAAATAACTATACGAGGGATATCTTAATCGGTATAAACGCGATTTAATCGTCGTATTATATCGTAATATCGATAGCTTATTAACGTTATAAGTATTAAGGGCTAGGTATTATCTTAATAGTAATAATATCGTTATAAAAGTTCCCGGGCTTATACGTACCTCCTTATAATAAATAAATAACTATAAGGCGGGATACTTTATTTAACGTAAAACGCGGGCTACTTCGCGGGTTAAATAACGGCGCCGACGGCGATCGGTATCCTCTAAATCCTAATAGCGTAATAGAAACTCCGTAAACTAAAGGTTAAAGGGTCGAAAAAGTTATAGGGTAGTCGCTACTAAGGAGGAGTAAAGCGTACGCGATACTAAAGACCCGGATAGGTTTACTCGAAAGTATACTTTATCGAAAACTATAATACGTACGATAATCCAAAATAAATAAAACTAATATCGCTATACTAATCGAAAGGCAAGGAATCTAATGCAATTATCGTATCTTAGCTATACCCCTTAGTCGTAGAAATATAATAATCGCTAGTCCGAAGGTATAAAAGGTAAGAAAAGAAAAGAAGCAAAACGCAAAAGTTACTTATTCGGCCATAGCGGTACGACGAAGTAACTTAAGCGCCTATAACTAAAATAAATATACTAATCGGAAAACGACGAATCTAATAACAAAAACGAATCTTTAATTAAAATAAAAATAGTAAAAATAATAATCTAACTAGATAATAAACTCCATAATAAGCATAGCATATCCCGTACTTACGGGAGCTATGGTTACTCTATATAGGCATAAGGCCTATCGTAGCGTATTACGTAATGTATTAAGAGGGCATGTCTTACCGCACTACTACAGTATATAAGTTCGAAGAGCTTATCGAGGCGTCGCTTAAAGCGTATCTTCCGGTCGCCGTCGGGATCAGGGGCCGGGCTTTTAGGGGAAAAGGGCATCGTAGGGTACCTGTTTTATCGAAAAACGGGCTAGGAGGGGTAGGAAACGACTCGCGGAGCCGTAGAAAGATTAGGAATAACTTTAATTACAGTTAATCGATTAATAGCTATACTACTAGCGTTCTACCTATAGTAAATAGTTATTTATACGTTTTAGTAACGGTTCCTTTCGTAGCCTCGCTACCTTAATCGTAAAGTACGTAAAACGAGCTAAAAGGTAAACTTAGTTAATTAATTAAAGGTATAAAAACTAAACTATTAAAAGGGCTTAAATATAGCGTTTTACGAATAGTTAGCTATTACGTGTTTTTCTTTAATTCCATTAATCATAGGCCTCCATTCTGGATGCCTAAGGATCCACAGGGGTTACCGGGTACTTTGTAGTTAAATCTTACCCGCCTAGGTAGGTAGGTATCTACCCCATACCTGCCTACCTGCCCTGCCTCCTAGGTACCTTACCTAACATACCTCTACCTGAGGTATCATGATCACCAGAGCTACCTCCGACTTCTCGTCTACACCTCTCTAATCCAGTTTCATCCGTTGTCTAACTAACAGCTAGCAATATCCTGTTTAGCACCCCCTACCCAAGCCTGAATTATCACGCCGCTACTATCGCCGTTGCCGCTGCAGTTGCTCCAGGGTCTTGGGCCACAGTCGACTCCAGCGAATCCGCGTAGTATCTAGCAGGCCAGCCTCGGCCGAGATGGACGCTCCTCAGCATCCACAGCAGCCCCAGACGAGTGCCGGCGAGTTCCCCGTCCTCGAGACTTGGGACCCCGCCGTCCAGCATGTCTTCATCACACCCGTCAAACGGATCAACGACGGGCCAGACGTCGCCAAGTTCCTAACCTCAAAAGCTTACCGCGACATCGGCAGATTCGTCTTGCAGTTGAATCGCGCCATGTGCCCCCGGAAGTCCGTGGGCGGCGACGGCAGGGACAAGATCCAAACCTTCCAGATCGGCTCCGAGTACGAAACCCATCCGGTCGGATCCGTCCAGAAGCTGCAGGAGATGCTAGCCAGGATCGACTCCTACATCGACGAGGTCCCGCCTGATCAAGGCCCGAGGCGCTTCGGAAATATCAGTTTCCGCAAGTGGCACCAACTCCTCGAGCAGAGGGTCGCGGACCTTCTCACCCAGTTCGTCCCGCCCTCTGTGCTGGATTTTAGTTCTAGTAGCGAAGGGGATACCGCAGCTGCGGACGAGCTCGTGGCTTATCTGCTTGGCGGTTTCGGAAGTGCGCAAAGGCTCGACTACGGGACTGGCCACGAGCTGAGCTTCCTCGCTTTTGTCGGGTGTTTATGGAAACTGGGCGCCTTCAAGGACGGAGGGCAAGGCGGCGATATAGAACGCAGTATCGTCCTCGGTGTCTTCGAGCCCTATCTCCGTGTAGTGAGACGTCTGATCTTGACCTATACGCTCGAGCCCGCCGGGTCTCACGGAGTCTGGGGTCTAGACGACCACTCCTTCCAGCCCTATATCTACGGGTCGGCACAACTTTGTCGCGCCATCACGGATTCCGAACCGATGCCAGTAGAAGGATCCCTCCCCCGGGCTCCGAAGCCCGCACAGATTGTTAAGCCCGACTACGTGGAGCAAGAGAGGAAGAGGAACATGTATTTTTCCGCCGTCGGCTTCATCAACGACGTAAAGAAAGGCCCTTTTTGGGAGCACAGTCCGATTCTATTCGATATCTCGGGCATCAAAGACGGTTGGGGTAAAATCAACAAGGTGCGACTCCATGCTCGATAGGGTGGGTACGTTCCACACTTCACTAATTCTATCGCAGGGTATGATCAAGATGTTCAACGCCGAGGTCCTCTCCAAGTTTCCAGTTGTACAACATTTTCCCTTCGGGTCACTATTCTCTTGGGACCAGGATCCCGATGCGGCGACGCCTCAGCAGTCAGTACACATGGCAAACCAGCCTAGCGCCGCCACATCGATGCCGCCGCCACCATCTAGGCCTTCCGGTCCTGGCACGGCTGCACCGTGGGCGCAAGCAACCAGTATGGCCGCACCTCCAGGCCCCGGAATCCCGTATTCTAGAACGCCACGGGGTCCAGGACAACCTGCCCCTAGGCTGCCTCAGCCTCAGCCTCAGGCGGGCTTGCCAGTTGGCCAATCATCCGTCACCCAGGCCCCCTGGGCGAGACCTAGCGACAGGACGGGTGGGTGAATGAAGAACAGAGATACCGTAGGGAGACAGACGTCCACCCAGGAAATGATAGAAATGCTCCCTCGCGAACAAATTTGGAGAGGGGCGGATTGAGTAGCAGAGGCGCAGGTCCTCATTGTCGCAAACCTCGAATATCAGGTGTTGTGGCGCCGCTACTCTGGCGGTGGAGCGTGCAGAGGCTATCACTCAAGGAACGGTGGATATCAAACAACACGAGACACCCCGTGAATTCCCCCTGTGTTGCGCAAAACTGGCGTCGGTCTGCTTCACCGCCGCCACTTGAGAGGCACCTGGTGGCACCGACGCCCACCCGTGGGATCGAGTAGAGAAATTCAGGGCGCACCACACCGCCATCTCCTCGTCATCGAGCCTGAGGCCGCCGGGGACATGCGTGCTCCGAGTTACAGAGATATATATGCGCGTGTAGAGCCAGTCCCGTCTGTGCCGGGACCCTTCCCAGATCGAGCCAGCCGAGAGCAGGTAGGCTCGCTTGCCGAAATGCGCAACCGACCCTCAAGCCACTCCCGATTCCCTCCCCGCAACTGTGATACGTGCATACGCATGCGTGCCACACCCTCCTCAGCGGTCACAGCGCCGTCCGTCGCGGCCCCGGTCTAGGCGTGTCGCCACCCGGATCTCGGGACAGGCTTCATACCATCACTACCATCGAGTTAGCAGTAGGTCTAAGTAGGTAGGTATACACGGGCACCGCGTACACATTTTGCCCTTGCTCCTTGCGATGTGTGGCGCACATGTACGATGCCCAATTTCCACGGGACCCCCTCGTGCCCCCGAATTGGGAGTCGTAAGTTGCCGAGGCGCCCAGGGAGGTTATAAAGCACCTGTGTATGCAAGCCCACCTGGCCTAGATCGCCGTCTTCCGGGAGCCCGCCTCTTACGTCCATGCCCCCCCCCTCAGAGGAAAATAGACGAGGGGTCCGTGCATGGCTCATACCATCGATAATTGATATGTACGACACGCCCGTATGCAAATATACCTAGACTGAAACAATACCGCGAAAAGGTTCCAGGCATATAGGATATAGATTTATGCCCCTGGAAGATATATCAATAGGGGCCTATATGTGCAGGTATATAGGTATGCAGGTAATACATAGGGACTTTCGCATTGGCAGACAGACAGGTAGGCAGTTATGATTTATTAAAATCGAGAAACGACATGATTAAGCCATTGCTTCTCGGAAAAGGGGGGAGGGGTTGGGCCTTTAGGGTATCTCTCGAACTACAAACTCTGTGGGAATATCCTCCGCCGAATCGTACAAAAAGAAAACTGGCTCGCGAAAAGAGCATCCCCCGACAGACCAATCACGCCGAGGTCCGGCGTGATCGACTGGCTTGTCCAACCAATACCATGCTATCATATCCAGCCCATTGCCGTCCGACCTGAGCCATCTCGAGAATCGGGCTAAAAAGGAGCATCCGGATCGGTCTAAGAGGTAGCGGCGGGTTTGGCCTCCTCGGCGGGCTTCGCCTCGGCGGCGGGAGCAGCGGGAGTCTCAGCCTTGGGTGCCTCCGCGGCAGCTATCAATAACCATTGTTAGTATGCGGTACAGGGGAAAGGATGACCCGAACAACAGCCGTGGGTATCGAGGGCATGCGGAAGATGCCGCCTCCATGCCTCAGGCGCTCGGGACGTGAGGGGTTTTGGTCGGACTTACGCGCGGGGTCAGCAGGGGCAGCGGCCGGCTGATCGGCCTTGGGCGCTTCGGAAGCAGCAGCAGCCGGGGCAGCTGGATTGGGGGGTCAGCATCAGTTCCGTCTGAGATCTTGTCGCCAACCGCCACGGCTAAGGCGTGAAAGGACGAGGCGAGACATAAAACTTACCGGCGGGGGCTTCGTCAGCCTTGGGAGCTTCGGCTCCGGCGGCAGCGGCAGCGGCAGGAGCGGCGGCGGCGGGAGCGTCAGTCGCAGCGCCCTCGGCAGGCTTCGACTTATCCTTCTTCTTGCCGAAGATCTTCTTCAGCTTGGCCTTCAGGTTGACAAACGCGTCCTTAGCTATAATTGCGGTTGTCACGTTAGCATACCCGTCCGAACCAACCCAAGGCGCCGAGGTGCTGCGTTTGGTTCATCACGCCTTGTTACCGAGCTGTTCCCAGGCTCGGAGAGGGACCCCCCGGTGCACGCTGTCGGCGTGGAGAGCAGGAGGGTGGGAGAGAGGCAGAGAGGTAGAGGTGGAAAGGGAAGAGACGTCTACTTACGAACACCAGGCATGGTTGCGGTATTGAGAAATTAGGGATTGGAAAGGAAATTTTTGGAAAAGAGAGCGTGGGTGTGTATATTAAAGTGAGTAAGTAGAAGAAGAAAAGAGCAAAGCAATAACAGCGAGGTGTTAGATTGTGCTATGTTGTGTCGCAGAGAATGAAGAAGAGACGGGGGAAAAAAAAGAACGGCTTGGATGGATTTTTAGGGGGAGAGGTCGACATTAAAATTGGGGAATTGATAGGGACCCGTGGGACATGAGCGGGAGCAGCCAGTGGCAGCTGTACCCTTGCCAGCGTCCCAACGGCACCCACACACCAGCGCCCACAGCGCCCACAGCGCCCACAGCGCCCGCACAGGACGGCGCGTGGCCGAAAACAGGCAATGGGGGAGCTCGCACGCTCTCTCTCGTGTTTCTCTCGTGTAATTACACAATTGCCTTGATTACCTACCTACCTCTTCCTACCTACGCATCTTCTACCCGTATTTTTGGCCCTTTTAGCGCCGGCCGCCAATGCAAGAGTCGCCAAGTCCCGCAAGGACTGGACAGTTTGGGCAGCCTGCCTACTCATACACATACATACATGCCACCTGTGCCCCCCTAATTTAGGTACCCCCCCTTCCCCCCCTTTAGGTGGCCCCCTTACCTGAGGTACCTACCTCCTCAGGGCATATAACGTACATGCATACCTACCTCCTACCTCCTACACTAGGTGCGTATCTGAGGTGGGATGTTAGGTGGATACCACACACTACCTAGGTAGGTTAGGTAACCTAGCCTTGTCAGTGCATTATGCACGTATGTACCTACATAGGTACCTACCAGGTAGGTAGGTGGCAGGTATACACGTATATACATAGATAACATGCCATTCTCCAGCTGGCACGGCCCAGCTCTACCCAAGGCAGATCAACCGCAAGATATATCGTAGTGTAGGGAGGTATCCATCTCTGTAGGAACACTCCGTATTAGAGGGGGTGTGACCATCTTACTATGCAGAGGGGGTTACCCTGCCAGCCTACCTCCTCCTAGGTAGATGAAGCTCACTGCCCTTTGCCACGGCTTCAGGGGGGGGAGGGCGCTCTCGCACTTATCTCGCATACATGAGTAGGTTAGGCACGTTGCATCGTATGCATCTACGTAGACATGTTACATACTCGGGCTGCTCGGCGCCCAGACGGTCCGGTTCTGGGAAAGCTAAAGCCAACCATGTGTGACCTTACATCATGTCCAAATGGGACAGCTTCGTCACATCATCGCTCCTCCATCAGACCGCGGGCGCTTCCTCGCTTATTCTGCAACCTCTGGATATATCCCGTGCGCATGGGCGTGTAATATAGGGAGGTACGTTTACGAGAAGTGTCAGAGACCCGGATCGTCCGTCAGGGGACCGACTAACCTCACCTATGCCTGATACATGCTACCATCTGACACGGATAATAATATGTCAATATATACCTACCTACCTGTGTAGGTATGTATATACGTATGCATACGCGTATACACACGCAGGATTAGGCGCCCGGGAGAGGCATCTCGGTTATCGTGTCGCCCTATGTACAGCATCGCATCCAATCTCAGGTCCCTCCGCATTCATCCGTGTGTCGTCTCGTCGGAACCCAGATAGGAGGCGGCCCAGTCCTTAAGGAGGTAGGTGAGTAGCTTCAGGAAATCAGCCTGTCCAAGGTGTCGACGTAATCCTGTTCCGCGTTTACGAATGACCATTTTGGGATCCTGCAGACGTTAGTCCGCTGCGATCGTTGCAATCGCTCCTACAATAGTCTCGTCTCTCGCCTGGTCTGGTCCGGGTTTGCAGGCGGCAGGCTATGGCCTAGAATATATGTACTTACTGAGTACACACGAATGCATGCCTACATGCGTGCTTCGTAATCATTCGCAGCCTCCTATCCACACCAGCTTACAACAACATATAGACGGGCAGCGTATGCCGTGGCACGTGTTGGTGATTCTTACAGTTGCCGTCGTTATGGGCTAGGCTTACATCGATGATACCCACGAATCTCACGCGCCGACACCTTGGAACGAGCACTAAGCGAGTTTATCGAGAGCTTCATTCCAACTCTAACAATAGCGCCGATCTAGCGAGATAAGCTGTTGGGAAGAAAAGGGGGGCTCCCCTTTCCGAGTCCTCGACTCCGAACTGAACGAACCTCGCCCACGGGGTCCGAGGCCCGCGCCGTGCCGTACGCTACGTCGACAGCAGATGGTCGCACCCAGAAGATGCCTGGCTACCTACCTCCTATTAAGTAGGTGGATACGATGTATTTCGTACGAGAGAACCGGACGAGGCCTGCCAAGGCCCATGGGAGCAATCGCATGGCTGAGAAGACCAGATCTCATGTAAATAGCCAATATCTCTTCTGTGTTGGCGTTGTGTTGCCGCGACTCTGTTACCGGATGGCGAATCCTTCCCGGGGACCCGCCGCCTTTTTGAGGGTCGCTGATGGAATGGGATGAACCCTGAAGATACTGTCTCTTCGCCCTGCGCACCACGACCCAAAACGAAGGATGCAATAAAGGGAGAAGAAAGACACGAAAGAAAACCGACCGCAACTCGGCGATGAGTCAGATACCCAGTAACCAGGGCTCGGAGGCCCACCCCGGAAGAAAAAAAAAAGGGCGCTGGTGATCTAGTCCAATCAGCGTTCAACTTAGAGCTCGTGAACAACCACCGCGACCGGGTCAGAAAGATTCGTCAGTGGTCGAATAATAATAATAAGCCTGGGAGATGAAGTGCAGCGAGGAAGAAACAGCGATGACGGATCTGTATGGATCTCCCCATACCAACGAGCACTAAGAAGAAAACATGGAAAAAGAGAAAAAGAAGAGATGGGACGAAAAAGTTTCTGCGTCCTTTCAGCCAACCTCGAACACCACTCGATCGAGTTCATTCCTATTAAGCTCATTCCTGTGAGCAAATCTTGACGGGTGCGGGTGATAAGAGAGCATTTACTAGGCCCCCACTATTGTCCGAGTCCCAACCCTCCCGCCCACAACAACCGCTTGGGAGGACCTCTCTGCTTCTGTTCATGTGTCAGAGCAAGCACCAAAACACAGGTTGACATCATAAGAGCATATGTATATGCTCTGAGCCCCATCCACTTCTCACATCGACTTGGATCGCATCCCTCTCGGCCCAGGACAAGCTGACGTGGCAATGGCTCCGATTATCCATCTTGTCCGCCACGCTCAAGGCTACCATAACCTCAACGAAGGAAATCACCAACTCCCAGACCCGGATCTGACGCCGCTGGGCGAATCCCAATGCGAAGAGCTCTGCAAGGGGTTCCAGGCCCACGACCAGATCACTCATCTCGTCGCCTCGCCTCTGCGGCGTACGCTGTACACCTGTCTGCGTTCGTTTGCGCCGGTGGTCAAATCCGGCAAGAAGGTGATCGCCCTCCCGGACGCCCAGGAAATATCCAGGCTGCCCTGTGACATCGGTTCGGAACCTAGCAGGCTGGGGGAGGAATTTGGCGACCTCGTGGATTTGCGCCTGGTCCAGGAGGGCTGGAACGACAAGTCCAGTGGAAGCAAATACTATCCTACCGCGGCCAAATTGGAAGCGAGATCACGAGAGGCCAGACTGTGGCTAAGGAAGCTAGCGAAGGAATCCGGTGACGACGCGCAGATCGTTCTCGTCACCCACGGCGGTATCTTGCATTTTCTAACCCAGGACTGGGACGGTGCCAGCGTAGAGAGAGGTACGTGTGGCATGTAACCCCTCGACCGTTGATTTCCGGCCAGCCCTATAACAATCAGATCCCTCCTCTCTCCCTAGGATACCCGGCCGACCTACACATTTCTTGGCTACGCAATTGACGATGGACACTAGGCACTGGCTGGAGCAACACCGAGCTGCGTTCTTACACATTCAAGGACGCAACTGGTCAAGATCCCGATGCATCCCTGGTGGAGACGCAGAAAAGCTGGCGTCGTCGACGCGGGAGCGCAACCCCCCTCACCGAGACGGAACAGGTGGAAATGCGGCATATTTTCCAGTCTTGCCTCCCTGAGCAGAAACAGGACGGCGACGCTTCTTCGTCCGAGGTTGTTATCGATTAGACGCGGATAGGGGGGAGGCGGGGGGGCAATCGAGCCACGCCCGGAAGCCCGCGAGATAGACGCCGTAGACGGAGGTTGGATAGATAGGCATCCACCGCAGGATATAGGGTACCGCATCTGACTCGGGAGCACCGATCAACACGGGGATTAGAAAGACTACAGACCCAATAAAGACAGGTTAGACCTGAGGCCCTGCGCTTCCTATCTACTAACCTTGGGCCATCGCGTCGACCAGAGGTATATGAGCCTGGCCGGCACGACAGGCAAGAAATCGAGCTTGCACTTATTATCGTTCTCCCAGCCTAGGGCATCGACCCCCCCAGAGAACAGCCGCTACCGCCGGTCGCGAGAGTTCCGGGATAGCGTTCTAAAATAGCACGAAGCCCCGATATAAGGTACCTAGGTAGGTATGCAAAGCCTCCGTCTCCTCGAGGCGCTAAACCGCCGAGTTGAATTTTGTCTACTACTCGAATCCATCCTGTTCCGTTCCTGTTCCGCCCTGCTTCCATGCTATCTAAAGGAGGTACCTCCTAGGTTAGGTGTCTACCTCCTACCTACCTCCTACATAACCTAGGTTAGGTAGGTACCCAAGCTACGGCCTGGGCCACGTACCTGAGGCATCCTTACCGTATTATCTCCGCTTACGGTGCCTTCCCCTAAAGGTGGCGGAATATATCCTCTGGCGGAAGGAGTTAGATGCTGCTCGAAAAGTACGGCCGTGGCTGGGTAGGATGGACCTCAGGTACCTGCCTCCTACCTTAGGAGGTACCTCCTCTAGCCCATACTCACCCACCCAAGCAGGTACTCACTACCTCCTGAGACACAGCATCTGCCTCGGGCATCTCGGTATGCCTACTCGCCTCCCTCCTGCACGAACGTCTCTGCTCGATGTGCCTATTCCTGCTTCTCTGCTGACCGCTGCAGCTGCCTCCTTAGGTACCTGCCCACGACGGTAGCTTCCGCCGACAGTTGCGATCGGGTAGAGGCGTGGAATATCCGTCATGTCCGTCGCGGCTGCCGGTCTGGCCGTCTAGTTCTGCCTCCCGGTATCCCGTTAAGTTGAGCCAGTGGGGGCCTCGTTCCCCCCTCCATCTTCGACTTCACATTCCCACCCGATTCTACCCAGGCTTCCTATCGAGTAAACCAAAAGCTCTCCGGCACAGTTGGTAGCTTCGTGAGTACAGTCTCGAAACTCTACGCTTCTCTGGCCCGCCGTCCCGGCTTCTTTCTTCCTTGCTACTTACTGCCCAGTCATCTCTCGATTCCGCCGGAACATCGTCTCGCCATGGGATTAGCGTCTTCCTCGATAGCCTTTGCCCTCCTGGCTACCGCGACCGTTTCGGCGTGGGATCACCTCGCGGCTCGCCCCATCCTGGCCCCTGGCTACGACTTGTCAAAGATGGAAAATGTCAGGCCGTCTTCTGACGTTGTCCTTGGTTACGACGTGGGCTTCGGCAGCGACCCTGGCGCCAGCGTCACCGTTGCTATACATGTCAACCGTCCCGCCGTGTTGCTGGAGGCCGTAGGGGTGGTGCGTGACGTCGATTGCACGTCTGACGGTGTGACCGTGTCCTTCAGCAACAAAGACACATTCCTCCATGCCATGCTGCATTGGCCCCAAGATGCAGGTTTATATCTGATCACAAACCATGCCAGTAACTGCGATACCGGCAGTGACAGGGGCGCCCACTACGTCTCTGGCCTCAGTTGGGATCTCGGTTCCATGACGGTAAGGGCACAGACGGAGAGGAGAGACCTCAAAGAAATTGCATGTAGGTTATATGTTATGAGAAGCGCCGAATCCCTACTGACGTTAGGCGAAAAGCTACCCTGAGGATCCTTATCTCGCAGGAGGATAATAACGCCCCGAAGCCCGACCAGGACGTCACGATCAACCTGCCCCAGATCAATGCCGCATCCAACTTCTCGATTCCCGGAGAGATGGTGATATTTTCTAGCCCGCCCAATTTCACCGCTTCGGTGAACGGCGGACGTCTCAGCAATACTATCGCTATCCAAGGCCACTTGGAGTATGACGTCGAGAAGCAAAAGTTGGTGACTGCGTGGTTCAACATGGATGCGTCTCTCTTCATTGACTTGGGCCTTACCTTCCGATTCAAGGGTGCCCAAAAAAGTTGCGGCGTAGTTTTCTACCCTGGATCCTTCTCGCCTAGTCGGATCTACATCCCCGGCATCCTTAACCTCCAGCCAACGCTCCACTGGTCGATAGGCGCCGACATTGGTTCGGATGGACCCTTGGCGCACCAAGACAACCTTACGGCAAATATAGGTAACGGCCATGTACATCTGGACTTCGTAAACGACAACGAAACAAAATTCACCGGGTGGACGCCGGATTTCTCTACCTCCTACTCTACAGAGGGGGTGGGCACAGCCCATTTCTCTCCCTCAATTGACTTTACCGCCGAACTCGCCGTTAACGTGATGGAAGGTACTTACTCTTCGACCGGTGGATTCACCACGAACTCGCAGCTGTTAAACCAGATAAGCCCAGCGGCGAAGCGTGAACAGCAACAGGGAATCCAGAAACTCAGGAGAACTTGGAGAATCCGAAAAGGGCAGCAGAACATGCACTTGCCGCGAAACTCCACCTGCCACGGCGGGTATGAACTCACCTCCTCTTTCAACCTCAGCCTCGTCGCATATGTGGTGGACGAATGGGAGGAGACGCAGTATTCGATCAACTTCCCCATCGCCGACCAGTGTTACTATCCTTGATGCCAATAGCTAGGCGATCGAGCCTCGGGAGCTGAAGGACCTGGGCAAAGACCGGAACAACACGCACACACTTTAACCGTGCTATAGCTTACTGTATTAGGCTGATATGGGGAACGAATTAGGCCAGTTAGCAACGACGAGAGCTGAGATATGGTTATGAGCGGAGGGTTTGGGGATCTGGTAGAGATCGTGCCCCTAAGAACGACCTTAGGTAATGAAAGTAGGCGAGATTTCAAGGCTTAGAGAGAGGGTACCGTGTAGCGTAACCAATCAAGTACATCGTCATCACGTGCGCGGAAAACAGGTGGGGACATTATGAAAGTTATGTAAGTAACCGGGTGACAGGAAAAGATCTCCACGAGGTACCTGCAGATACTAAAACTGATTCACCCGCCTTCAGGGGGTCTTGGAGCCGCACTCTAGAATGAGTCATTCATGATCATAACATATCCTGGTAGAAAGACTCATCGTCTAGCTCCTAGAGTCGTAGGTGTCTATAAGACCTTCGGTGCGTAAGGCCAGACGCTGTCATCACCTAGGTATTTGCCATTCTCATTCTCGCAAAGGTGCTGCTACCTCGGCTCCTAAGACGGTCGGCTAGTTGGTGATTGAAAAAAAAAATTCGTTGCCTCCCTACATCACTACAACACTCGTGTGCTATGATCTCGACGAGAAACGCCCCCGAGCGGGCCAACGACGGCCATCAAGCTGTAACCAGAGCTGCCGATAGTCATGTCGTGCCGAAGCCGGTTCCCGACTCCCAGGCCAAGGACCCGCGAAGGTACCAGCTAGACCAGATGAAGAGGCGCTACTCTCCCCAGCAGAGTACGTTGCAGGATGGGACGACGAATCTCACGTTCCAGCTCAAACCATCGGATCCAGACTTTCCTTTCGAGTTGGATCATCTGGAATGCGAAGTCCAAGTGCCTGCGTCCTATCCTGACCGGCCTCCTCGTCTCCGGGTCAAAAATAAGGACATCCCCCGTGGGTTCGCCGTAAATATAGAGGTGGGGTGGGATAGGCTCGTCAACAAGAACCAGGACCAGACTCTGCTGGCCTTGACCAACGCCCTAGACAAGAATCTCGAAGCATTCCTCTCGGAGCAAAAAAGCGAGACCGTAACCTTGCTGTCTTTCAAAGACACCAGGCATCTGGACCATGCCGCTACTGTGCTCGGAGAAGCGCCTCCCCCAAAGGCGGAGACGCCGCCGCCACCGAAACCGGCTCCGGCTCCGGTACCTACCAGGCCATACGTGCCAGAAGAGTCTTACACACGGGAGCAGACCGCTGCGGCGAGAGTGAGACGGGCACAGGAGGTTAGGCAACTCGAATCTCGAATGTCGCGGATGCCGCACTACCAGAAGTCCACGGACGGGGTTATCTACACGCTGCCACTGGAACCGAAACGACGAGCTGAGTTACCGCCCGAGCTGCAGCAGGTTCAGTCAGCCCAGCTCATAATCCCCCTGCTCTATCCCCTGCAGTCGCTGAGGGTGTTGCTTAACAACGTCGAGTCAGAAGACGCCGAGGCGCTGGAGGAGCTCTTCGCGGAGAAGGCCGCCCAGCAGAAGCAGATGAGCCTCACGAGCCATCTGAATTATCTCGCCCAGAACATGCACGTCATGGCTAGGAATGTTGCTGCGGCGGCAGAGGCGGCGAAGCAAAAGAAGGCAGAGACGGCTTCGCACCGTGCCGACGAGCCAGACGACGGTGGCGCCGGTGTCAAGGAGACGCCGTTGCCGCCGCCGCCGCCGCCGCGGCGCACGGCGGGCGACGACGAGAGAAGCCACGTCCACTTTATCCCCCGCCCTCCGGAGTGGAGTTTCGGCAACGATTCCGGGGAGTCGGAGTCAGAATCGGAGGGGGAGGACGAGGAGGAGGACGACGAAGACGAATCCTGGGACGACGACGGCGGATCCGACGACGAAGGGGGCGCTACGGTGGGGGATCTCAGCAGCGCGGCTACGCAGCAGGCGGAGAGGGGCACGGCGCTATCGTTCCCGGCGGTCGAGCTGCGGGGCGTCGAGCTGCTGCAGGTAGCGGTGCTGAACCTCAGCGTGCGGTGCGCGCGGTGCCGGATGCTCAACGACGCGACGGGGCTGCGGCCGGGGGTCGAGAGGGCGGGGAGCTGCCGGAAGTGCGGCGCCGCGTTCGCCACGCGCTTCCGCGCCGAGCTGGTGCACCGCAACTCGGCGCGGGCCGGCTTCGTCGACGTGTCCGGCTGCGCCGTCGCCGACATGCTGCCGAGGTGAGTTCCGCGTTCCCTCTCCCGCCTTTTTTTTTTTTTTTTACCTGCGTTTCGTCGCGCGCGCGCGTATGCTAACCAGATTCCCGCATTCGCCCCCCCGCCCCGCGCGCAGCACCTTCGTGCCCACGTGCGCGCGCTGCTCGACCGCGGGCCAGGGCCTGGTGTCGACGCGGGCCGAGGCCGTGACCAACGTGTGCCGCGAGTGCCACGCGCGGTTCACGTTCGCGATCCGGGAGGTGAAGTTGCTGGCCATCACGCGAGACGGCGGGGGGGACACGGCGTTGGCGGCAGCGGCGGCGGCAGCAGCATCCTCATCGGCGGCGGGGCGGCGGCAGCAGCAGCAGCACCCGGAGCGGCTGGCGGGCGTGCGGGCGGGCGAGCCGCTGCCGGGGCACGGCGCGTGCGCGCACTACCGGCGGTCGTACCGGTGGTTCCGGTTCGGGTGCTGCGGGCGGGCGTACGCGTGCGACCGGTGCCACGACGCGGCCGAGGACCACGCGCTGGCGGAGGCGGAGGGCGGCGCGCGGGCGGCGCGCATGGTGTGCGGCTGGTGCGGCCGCGAGCAGCGCTACGCGCCCGAGGCGTGCGGCTTCTGCGGCCGCAGCGTCATCGGCCGCCGCGGCTCCGGCTTCTGGGAGGGCGGCCGCGGCACCCGCGACAAGCTCCGCATGAGCCGCAAGGACAAGCGCAAGTTCCGCCGCGTCGGCGGCGGCGAGGCGCGCAGGGCTAGGAAGGGCGAGGTGTGAGGTTTGGGGGGGGGGATAGGGGGGTAGGGAGATAGGGGAGGATAGGAGGCAGGTGGTGCGTCTTCAAGTTGGAGGGTATGGCGGTGCTAAATTATGCTAGACTACACCGGGAGACCGCGGCGGAGGAGGTTAGCATACGGCTTGCCTTCTGAACCCGTCGTAGTAATATGCTGGCGACTCGCTCGCTGCACGCATATTGCATCCGATAGCAACACCACCGCCTCGCCCATCCCACAAAGTTTCTTTTACGCGTAGAGGTAGTTATAAGAAGTACGTCAAAATGCGTAGTACCTCGCCTCGGCGGCGGCGGCGCTTGCTGGGTAGAGGGGTAGGGCTTCTTCACATACATACACACAAGACAACGTGCCATATAGCAACTACTCGGGGACTACGTCGACGAGTGTTGGTCTGGGGGTATCTCGGGTGGTGAAGAAGTAGGGAGGCACGTATTTTACATTATGCTACACTAGTTCGTACCTATACCTATAAGCAGCAGCAGGAATAGCAGCAGCAGTAGTATCCAACACCCCAAGGGGCTGCTGCGTGGAATAGCTACTCCCGACCCTCCGGTTATGGAAGGCCCCCTAACGACGGGTAGAAACAACGCCCATGCCGAGACGGGGAGTAGTTGAGTCGCCTATACCTAGCTGTGAGATGCCCTAGGGCACACGCACGCACACCGAAGCCGAAGGCACTCCGTCGGACCTGGCCTGGCTTGACGTTGGCACCAGACACACCCCTTCGATCAAGACGCGTCCTGGCAGCGCGCCAGCACCGGCGTACTCAGTAGTGTAGTCGAGTCAACCCTACCTGTCCATCCACCCGTGTCCCGGGCCTGCCCATCCCTCAGCACCATCCTCGGAGAATAGGCAGGCGCTAGCGCGCGCCGCTCCTGTAGGCACGTCCGCCGCGCCGGCTCTCCGTCGACGTAGGTATGGCATCGGTCTCGAGTCTCGCCTGCGTCCACATACCTATACTTAGGCATACGTATACTCCGAACCTATGTGCGAAGGGCACCAGGGCCAACAGCCATCGAGGCGTGTGTATGGACGTAGTACTAGGTAGTATGGATGCAGCTGCGTTCCGTAGGAGCCACTCGGAATCCGCCCAGCCACCTCTCCCCCTTCTCCCCTGCGGCTTCGAGAAGAATTCCCTGCCGCGCCGGGGGCGGGAGAGGGTGCCGCCAACGACACCACAAAAAAAAAAAAAAAAGAAGAGAAAGAAGAAGAAATTTTTTTATTCGCGCTATTCCGAAGAAGAGCCGTGGGAGGGGGGTAGGCGAGAAAAAAACCGAAATTGCAGCAAAGGAATACTACCTGTGTTTTCCGGACAACACAGGTACTAGTAGGTAGGTAACACAGATCTTCGCTCGCGCTTTGCACCCTGTTTTTCTCACCCCCCCCGGTCTCACACCGAGCCCTATTATCTGCTCCGCGGACATACACCTACCTACCTAATCTACCTACCTTACCTTGCCCACAATGTGTGGGTGGGTAAGGGGGGGAAAGGGGGGGGCCCAACGCAACGCGCTCACCGAGCCGCCGCAGCAGCGCTTCCGTCCGCCCGAGAGCTCGTCGCCCGGCAGAGCCTCGGGTATTGGGGGCCAGGCACGGGGCACGGGCCAGAAGGGGGGGGGGGGGGGAATAGGTACGTAACGTGTATAGCCGGATCGGGGTTTGCTGGTGGAGGCGCCGCACCGTGCACACACGCGTGAGCGCATTGCAGGTAGGTATATGTAAGGGGGGGGGCATACATGCAGAGGGGCGCGGTGTGCGAATCTGCGTTGCGCGTACGTAGGGTACGTACGTGGAGCACGCGAGGCCGCAGGGCCCTGACCCGCGGCGAGGGCGCGCGTTGGTTGCGACGGCGTTGGCAGTGACACAGACTGAGGTTGTGCCACACACGTAGGCACGCATATGCCTGCGCGGGATTGTGTGTATTCGCGCACGCGTGGGTAATGGGAGGCCGGCGGGCGTGGCGGGCAGAAGCCGTCCGTCTGTCTGTCCGTCTGTCTGCCCCAATCCATCTTCGGCTGCCGGGCCTGCCTCGACGAAGCGACTCGCAGTCCATGGGGGTCTAGCGGGCGCGCTTGCGCGGCTGTGGTCCCCGAGCCCACCGGGGACGATCCTACTGCTCGCTGCTGCCACGTACGAATTACTATACCTACTCATAGTATTATTATTATTTTATTTTATCGCTCTCCTGAATATATTTTTTTTCTCCCCGCTGATTTTATCGTCCTCGCCAAATATTCCTGAAAATAAAAAATTGCAATTCTTTTTTTTTTCCTGTCTCCCCCCCCGTTCGTTTTCTGCGACGTCTCGGCGGACAGGGACAGGGGTGCCAGCGGAAAGAGATTGCGCCCGAGTCGGCGACTCAGACCGGGGGGGTCCAGGGTGAGAAGAAGGAGAGAGGAGACAGAGAGAAAAAGGCTGGGCGGGGAGACCGCCGAGCCAGAATGCGGGCGTGCGTCCCGGTGAACAAGCGCAGGATGTTACCTGTCGCATCCGCCGACACGGTGCGGTAATGCGCACGTAATACACATATTATAGGGATGTTGTACACGTATGAGTATTTCGCGGGTCTGCACACGAGCCCTCGGCGGCACCGCGCTGCGGTTCTTGCAGACCTTGCTACCTGCGCATCTCCTCCTCTCTCTCTCTCTCTCTCTCTCTCTCTCTCTCTCTCCCTCTCTCGCGTGCGGCCGCGCACATGGCACGCTCGCAATATATCGAGTCGATAGCGCCAGCTAGCACGCGCGCTGGCTCGAAGATCCGACTCCATCTGCTCCCCGGGGCTAGGGCCCAGAAGGGAACGGCCCGACCGTCTGGCTCCCGGGGGGGGGGGGGGAGGAAGGGATGCGCGGCGGTGGGATGGGTGGGCTCTTGTATGAGGTGCGTGTCGATCGTACAAAAGGACCTCGCGACGGGATATCCTCTGCGTGTGTAACTGCACCAGGTAGGTTACGCAGGTTGGGGGAGGAGGTACGGTATACACCTAGGTGAGTGCGTGCATAGACCGAGAGGGAGCAAGTTGGCTTGGCGTCCAGCGAGCCGGTGAGGTGAGACGGGGGGGGGGGGTTACGCACCGTTAGGGTCGGCGAAGACGATAGTAATATGGTACGGGGCCGAGGCGTTAGTGTTCGCCGAACTCACGAGCCAGCTCTCTATGAGCATTCATCTACCAACTATCACGTCTTTCTACTGTCTATAGACCGTGGGGTTGGCGGACACGTGGCGCTGGCCACGGGGGTGGTCAGGTGCGCGGTGGGCATGAATTTACTGTTTCGATTTCTCATTGATTTGGAAAGATATCCGTTTCAAGCCCCCCCCCCCCCCTCCATAAAAAATTTGAAAAATAAAAAATGAAGGGGCCAGGGTAAAACAATAAAAGAAGATAAAATCAAAGTATTAGCAGCTATAAGAAGAGAATTAAGATGCCTAAGCAATAGAAGAGAGAGGGAATACTATTGAGTGAGGCGGGGTGCGGTAAATTAATCATCGCCTCGTCCCGTCCTCGCCAGCATCCGATGGTTCGATGGCTTTTTGTCGCTCTCGTGTGGTCGAGTCCACACTAGTCCCGTCGCGACGGCGCCCACGCGTACTATAATGCCACGCGGAATGGTGTCTTTGCAGATCCGGGGAGGAGGCGGTGGCCGGGGGGGGGGGAGTTGGACCCAATCAGCACGCGGGCATACCTAAGTCAGGGTCCCGCCGTGGCGGACATGTGAGATGCGATCTGCGTATGCATGCATTCTGCGTATTCTGTATATGGCGTGTGCGGGCGGGCGGGTGTAGAGCGTAGGCCAGTAGACATATCAGGTACTAAAGAGGCCTACATAGACATATTTGTGCATCTACTCCGCGATTCCACGTTGCAGCATGTAACGTTCGCATGTGCGGGCACGATAGGGCACTCCCATATGTAACGGTGGAGGAGGGATGGGGAAGGATGGGGAAGTTCGAGGTGGCCTGCCAGCCTCGGTGGTGAAGGAAGAGAAACCCGGTACCGACGCCGTCGGGTGCTTGTGTGTACATCATGAAGAGGGTTAAGATATCGGTACATATATTTAACACACCTATATAGTATAGGTATGTATGTGTATAGTGCGTGTCCACGCCGAGGTAGACGAGTAGTAAGGCATGCGTATCAGGCACCTGTTTAGTGTCTATGAGTACATACCGTCAGAAACGCCAGCCGGGAACACGCATGCGCTGCTACGCATGCCTGTGTATGTATGCACCGCCCACACCGCTAACTGAAGTTCGGCAGCTCCCCTCGAAATGTCGGTATTCGTCTTGGGTTAGCTTGCGTGCGTATGGGGAGTCTCATCTGACTCCGACCCCAAACCGACCTAGTCGAGCAGCCGGGGAGAGACACGGTAATAGGTGCGTATATCCACAAGGGGACCTGCTTCCATTCCTGTTCCTCCTCCGCGGCGCGATCCTGGTAGCTATTTCGCCCTAACACCTCAGCTGAGGTCGCCGTCGTTATCGTCGGGAGGCTATCGGGAGTTGAGGTTAACGAACAAGGTAGGTAGGCATGTAGATCAGTAGATAGCAAGAGAGAGACGGCGAGAGATGACTTAGTACCACAGAGATCGGCGTTCAGGTACGCCAGCTCCGTAAGGGTCTAGGTCTTGGCACGTATATTCGAGAATCCTTCGCGGGATGTCGGGAGCTCGCGACGATTTCTTATCTCTGCCCCCCCCCCTCCCCTCGCCGCCTGTCTCTCGGCCCCGGTCCTAGCCACCCGCATGGCGACAGCATGGCGACATCCCGCAATTCCCGCACGTGGGCCTTGTCGATGCTTACGCGCGCGCTCGACTTAGCCGATGACTAGCTAGCCAGCTAGCTAGCCGGCTTACTCGCCTTCGCGCCGCTCGTCTGCCCGTTTCTCGCCCGCGGCGGCAACCCGGGGGCCTGACTGCTGACGGGCAACGATGGCCCGCGAGCACAAGTGCTTACGCCCTCCTTATCTCGACCGCGCACAAGCAACCGCGGCGGCGCTCCGCGGGCGCCGGGGACGGGAGAGGCAGTCGGAAGAAACGTCTATCTGACAGACTCGCTTGCCCCCTTGCATCGTCTCATCTCTTCTCGTCTCTCAGCGTTTAAGCTTCTGCCGACAGGTTATAGTGCGCGCAGGAGCGGCGCCTAGAGGGCTCCTAGCAGCGAGTAAAACGGGTAGGATTCAAACGAGTGGCGCTGGTGCTGGTATTGTAGCTAGCTTTGGTGGTGAAGGTGGTGCCAGTTGCGGAGTTGGGTAACTCCTGGATTCTCAAGACCCAGCGCTGCTGCTGCTGCTGCTACGTAGCATGTAACTGCCCGTGTGTGCCTTAGGTGCCCGTTATTATGCACATCTTCTAGAGTTGTGCATATCCCGCATAGGACAGGAGTTATAACTCTGACATTATTATTACCTCATCATCCCATTTTGAGTGGAGCTCCCGGGAAAGTCTAAAACTCAGGACACATCTCAAACGGCGCAGATCGTTCGAGGTTGGCTACTAAATTTAGGCGTGCGGTCTGTCCGGTACCTTGTGTCGGTACTGCTGCTAGCAGCTACTGCGCGGCAGTACCTGGCTATACACGATGCACGATACACGATAACACGGCAGGTGTGTACTCGTACTCGTACATTGAGAGGTAGGTACCATGCACCAGGTAGGCAGGCACAAACCGCATCCCACTGCATCCCACTGCATACTAATGCATGGCTAACGCATACTACTGCATAGTAAGGTTCTTAGACGCATTCTAGTGGCTTCGACAAACAAATCGGTGCATAACCGTCCGATGCTACGTCCGAGTTGGGCGTGCTCTTGTGCAGATCGAGCCCTTCTCGTCCGTCTGCGCTCGCAGGTTGGCGGTGGGGGTCACCGGCTTGCGTGGGACCATCTGCGAACAGCGGTCTGCACTAGACCTGCCTCTTCGGGCAAGCCCGCCGACCCTGTTCCTCGACTGAGGGGATTCCCTCCTTCTTCGACCCTTACTACAGGCGCCCTTCAGGGTCCTGTCTTGGGTGTTAGGTACCTTTCCGCGGACATGTCACGTCAGTCCAGCGTGTTGTTGATATGAGAGGTACCTAATGGATATGACGGGCACCTAACGTCTAGGTAGGTAGGCAGCTAACAAGCTGTCGGCCCTTCCTCGCTCGCCCCCCTCTCCTAGCCTCCCTATAGCGGTCCTGTGCTATCGACTCTGCGACTCTGTCTGTATTTCTTCCACCCTGCCACTTCGACTCACCTGCTATTGACGGAGTTCATTCCGGCTCTCGAGGGCCCTGCGCTGCCCATGTCCCATCCAGCCCGGTTTCTAGCTTCTCTGCCCTGACGATGGGCGCGACACGACGACCACCCATAGCTAGTATCCATCTACGAGTATCTCCCTGCTGAGGGGTGTAACCCACACACGATATCCCACCCGCTCGGCGGCAGACCACCAGGATCTAGCAAAATCTCCCGTCCCGTGGTTCAACGTTACCTGGGCCTGCGGGAGTCTGTTGGAAGCGCACCCTGTCACCACCTCTTCGCGAACCTACGAACGCACATATGCACGTTTCCCACACCATTGGCTTTCGCCAGCTCGCAAGCCCCCCCGTCATCGCGCAGGATTGGCTGGTCCACGGGCCCAAGTTCACGCAAAAATCCTACCCACCCCCATGCATGCTGTCCGCGTACGTCCTCGCTTCCCAGAGGTCCCCTTACGGAGAAGAGAGCCTCTCTAATACCAGGGAATGTACATGTATGCATGTCGCCTTGTGTTCGAGGCTGGACGTGCCAAAGCTGGTCGTGGTCACGTTCTCTACAGCCAGGGGATCGATCTGTCGCGACCATATCCCCCTCTCCGTAGGATGGAGGAGGCGGCGCCCTCGCCCCTGGCCCCGGCTAGACAGAGACGAAGTTAGAGACAGATAAGACCCTTCTCCAGATAAACGCGAGACGAGGGTCGTCAGCCTCTGGAAATTGCCGCGAATAAGCCAACCCAGTATTACTATTTGGATTATTTTTATTGTACGTCCCTCCCTTGCTTGTACGGTGTTGTAATTTATCGTAATTTATTTTATCTCGATTTCTTTTTTATTTTTTTTATTCCCCCCTTCCCCCTGGCCCCCTTCTCCGTCCCCATCCAAGTGGGGCGTCACCACATGCTACGTTGTACGCCTCTATGTCTGTATGTACATCCATATGTCTTGTTGCTGCCGGCGACCTCCCCTCTATCCAACTGTCTGGTTCCTGTCGAGTCGGACCTTTGCGAGTTGCCTCTTTTAACGATACATACGGTGTCTCTGTGTAATGTCCCCGACCTGATGGCTGCTACGAGGTCTCTGTCACCCCCTTGTGACGACCCAACTCCTCGGAATCAGACTCGCTGCGGTAGGGTTTGGAATATTCCGTTGGCCTTCGACTACTGGTCCTCTCTTCGACCCGTAGTTGCTGCACGCTCTTGTGCCACTTTGATAATCTCTAATCCATGGGCATTCGGGCCCTAACGAATGGCCCCGCAACCTCTTGTAGGACTCGCCGACGCATGGCCGCCCCCAGAGACATTATCGAGCCGATCGCTTTGGCGCCGAGTCGGTGGAACCTCATCGTCACCCCCCATCATTTGCAAGTCTGTGCCAGTATCCGGCCCGAGCCCGTCGAGTCGGGTTCGCATAGGTGTATACCTTCGTCGACGTCGCCTAACGAGGGCACTGGCGAACCCGCAAGCCACCCATGACCGCCGGGATGCCTGCGAAACCTAAACGTCTCCCAGATCAAAGGCCGAGATTGCTAGGTTCTCGTAGACGTTGGAGCGTGGCTATGGCAATATTACAACTCTTATTCGACGATACTTGGAGTCGCCAAGGTCTCACATTCGCATCACGTCCTCTCCCTCTCTCCTCTCTCCCCTCTTCCCCTCCCTCGCCTTCACGATCCTATGTCTTGTCGGACACACCCGACGCGGACCCAACTCCGCCTGAAAAATGATACTCCGAGCGAGTCTGAGAGTTCAAAGCACACACGCACCTGCGGACGGCGGTTCCGAAGAGGGGGGACGCTCGAACACGCCAGAACGACGACGACTTCATGCGAACGGGTCTGCTTTCGGTATGGCGCCTTGGAGCTGTCAATGGGCGTGATCCACAGGGCCCGCTTCCGCCGAGGTTTCAGGCCAGGGGGGAGGGCGAGGAGGTGGAAGGCCGCCGAATCGCGCTCAAGGTGTTATTTCCCCATCACGAAACAAAAACCCGCGGTGATCTCGGCGAAATACATGGTGGGTGGTACCTCCCCCGGACCTGACGAGACCCAGGCCGACTCTTCGAATTCCCTTCTAGAAGCATGGTCGCATAGAGCTAAGGGTCCGGGGGAGTCTACCCTCCATGGGCATGGTGTATGTGAGCGAGTGTATGCGCGTTCGGCTAGAGCAAGCGACGCGACCCGGAGATCACTCCGACCACTCACGTCGCTCGCCAGCCCACGCTCATCTCCTCTCCCAGGAGGACGGCTCGAGTCATAGCGGCGGGAGACGCGTTCGAATGGGGAAAGAAGGGCGAGTCAGGAAATTGGGCCTGTACCCGAACAAGGCGACGGAACATGGCCTCAGTCCGTGTCACCGGAAGCCCTTCCCCGTCAGCCTGGCCCGCGGGTACGCCAAACCTCAGCAAGGAGAGCGACGCCCGGGAGCTCGGCGGTGTCGCGATGTTCGCGATCCCAGGTTCGATCCTGGACGGCCAGGACCAAGATGTGTGGATGGAGTCATGTATCCGGCCCGTCATCTGAAGTTGGGAATGACCGTGCGTGCGACAGGCATTGAGATGGTGCCCAGGGCAATTTTTTATTTCCTATTTTTTATTCCTTTTTAATATTTTTTTCCTCCTGAATATTTTATTATTTTATTGCTTTATTCGACCCTGCCCCCTACCCACTGTCCCCCCTATCCCCTACCCCGAGTGCGGATACGCAACCTAACACTCAACTACGCGTCTAGATGCCTATGTATGTATACACACAGGTATTTAGAACCTAGTCGTTGGTGAGTACTTGGACCGGAACGGCGATCATGATGTCCCTGCCCCCCTGAGGATTAACGTAGACTAAGAATATCCCAAACAAACGTTGATGCCCAAGTATAGCGGCAACGGATCGACACCGAGAGAGAAAGCTCGCTGCTTGTATATCCGCGGCGAAGAGATGAGATCTTACTTCTCGATCGCACATTGTTGGGTATGTCTGCCCCAGTAACAGACAGCTTCTAACCTGCTGTACGTACAACCGAGCTCTCGACGAAACAGTCTATACGGTCGACTTGCCCGAGCACGTACGGGTACGGCTTGTCGAAGGTCTTGTGGCATCCGATCGGAGATCCCGTAGGACAGTAGCAAATGGGCTCCTTTCCTTTTCTGCACTCCCAGCATTAATTTCTTGCAGGGAGCGGAAACGGGCAAATGCAATAACCATAATTAAAAGCATGGGAAGCTGATACCTGACGGGTCTCCACAGCTTCATTATCCAAGCAGAAAGAAGAGGGCACCCCTTGGATGTCTCCACCCGGCGAGTAGGTCTAGACTGAGGCCATCCACGGGAGTTGCGAGCCCCCAAGAGTCCCAACGTGACGGTTGCCGTCGATCGCAGCGTCTTGCCCTATCCACACTCGATGTATGAGGCGCCTGCAGTAGGCGATGCGATGACGGGCCCACCGAGACGGGCATTGGGGCTGCGGCAGGACCACTGTTGTCAAATCCCGAACATTGTGCGAGACGTCAAGTGACCCAGAGAGGTCCGTCCGTCTGGGTCCGTAAAAATACGATCGCTGGACAGCATACCAAATCCCGTGTACGATGCTACCTCTGATCGTTTTATCGACGACCGGTCTGCCTGTCAACACCGAAACCGTCGCATTCCGCTCGGCCGTGCTCGCGTCTATTGCATACTCGTAGTATGACTTGAACCTCGGTGGAAAACGTCTGTATGGTAGCCGTCGACCCTCCCCCAATCGGCCGTGCAGGCTTGTAATTAGCAAATTCCCACGCGGCAGACGGTTGAACCCGTCTAGACAGATGATAGCTTGGAATAGGGGACTAGCATTAGGGGGAGGTTCGGCTTAGGCAGCATTTAGATAATCTTATAGGCGTTGCAAGCGTCGACCGGTGATTGGTGGGATTTGTGCCGTGGGAAAGGGCTACTACCCGTGTACATTCATGGTCGCACGATTCTCCATAATATGGGAAGTATCGCAGTAGTACATCGACATATGCCGTTGCGGAATACCGGAATTGCGTCCCCGCCTTACCCCAAAGCCGGGGAACAAAAGGGGGACGGCTCCGTCATTGGGCAGCTGTCGAGCTGCACGTGATATCAGCGAACAGCCTCCACCATAACACGTACCTACCTAGACTTCGATGCCTCAGGTATCCAGGCACCGTCTATCAAGCCCCAGCTGTCAAGCCACACAATGACGAAAGCCCTACGGCGGTACCAGGGAGCCTATGACACAACACTACCTGTTCTACTACGTAGAGATAAATACCTACGATATTTAGCTATCAACTTAGCTAGATAATTTCCATTCATATGATCATCTTTGATTCGTCGTCATATGCGAGTCAGGCCGCAGGAATTCCCGATATCGATCCCTCCACGATAGGCACCCGCCTACATCTTGCCGTCATGCCAGACGACGGCCGGCCAGCAGGCGACGAGGAGCGCCAGCAGAAGCAGCCGACCTCCCGCGAGAAGCTCCTAGAAGAGATTGCCACGCGCATCGAAGAGTCCAAGAAGCTGCAGGAGGAGTCGACCGAGCTGCACAAGCAAGCGGATGGGGCGGGGGACCCCGCCGCGGCCGAGGATCTCAAATTCCGCGCCCGCGAGCTCGACAGGAAAGCCGCCAAGCTGCTGAAGACGGCCAAGCGGCTCGAGACGGGGTGGGTGCAGGGCGGGGCGGCCGGCGCCGGCATAGGGGCCGCCGTGGCGGGAGGGCTGGGCGTGACCGTCGGGTCGCTGGTGGCCGGCCTCGTCGCCATCCCCACCACGGGGCTGGGCATCCTGGTGGGGGCTGGCGCGGGGCTGGTCCACGGCCCCTGGGTCAAGTTCGCCCAGGCGCTCAGCGGGGACGAGGTCGACGAGATCGACGCGCAGGCGGAGGCGGAGGCCCGGCGGGTCCGCGGGAGCCTAGATCCAGCCCTGCAATAGAAGGCGGGACGCGAGGGAGAAGTGGATTGCGCTCCCTGCTGAGGAGAGATCCTTCAGTGCATTACGCCGGCTGCTGGCTCGGCTGTGTAGCTATGTAGGCAGGCTTACGAGCGCATGTTCGCTCTGCTAGCGCATTGTAACGAGGAACGCGAGACGTGTTGTGCGAACAGGAAGATTATTATAGGTAACCGATGGTAATCATAAAGGGGATATTTAGCCCGGTATTCTAAACAGACCCCTCTTTGTAGGTACACGCACGTCTGGAATAATACCCGCGCTCGTTCTAGGCTTTTCAAAGGCGAGTCAGGGGGATTGCAGGAGCTTACGACCCCCCAGACTGCTAAATCGTTGTCACAACCCTGTCTGTTAGCTTGCACGTGCCTATGGCCAAACCAATATCACCAATCTCAGTCATTTCTTTCCTTTATAAGTAGGGTAAATATGTGATTTATTATCGTAGCCGAATGTGGTAACCACAAATTTTACCTAGTTATGTATGGTCCCCTTAATATCTATCAAGTCATTAACCCCGATCAGTCCTTCTCCTACGTTTTCATTCCTTGAATGTTAACAGTCGTAGGCAGCAAACCCAACTAAGAAAGTAGTTGCGGCATTTCAAACTAGGCAGTGCAATAACGCAAGCGGTTCTCTCAACAACGCTACTAATGCGTATCCAAATCGGAGTATGCAGGCAGCACAGCAGAATCCTGGGTTTCACCTCTATAACTCGGTTCAAGTTGCTCTCCTCTCCTATTGCGTAAAGCGTAGACGCCTACACTCTACGATTCGCAGGTATAAGCTTACAATGGATGGCTTCCCACGTGACATATGGTTTGAATTAACACCTTCTTACAGATCCGCTCCAGTGTTTATTTTGACAACTCGGAAAGACTAACTTAAGTCCCAGTTCCTATCGGTTCCAGCCATCTCTTCCTTGAGTCTCTAGATAATAAAAGAAAGACATTTTCATTATTTCCATTTTCAGCATCAGCTGTATTGCTTACAACGCATGTCCATTCCGACATGATTAGTTTAGTTGCTTTTTCACAGCCATCACTGCAAAGGACTTGAAATATGAAAGGCTGGTCATGTCCTCTCCCCACGACCTGGAACGTTAATAACCATGTGACTACAACCAGTAGTTAATATCAATTGGCTAAGTTTAAAGCCCCTCACTTAAAGCGCCGATGGAATGTATAATTTAGGGTTATCCCCCCGTTAACTCTATTACTTGTCAAGACATCCAGTCTTTAAGAAGCCTCCTACCTGGAGTCAGAGCCCAACTCATCAATTCCAGGACACTATTGGAGCCACGCAAGCTGAAGCATCCAATAAGACCCCTCTGGACTCTTGCCTATCGCTGCAGACCGTTGTATTTCCTCTTCTCGGGCACTGCTCGACAATTTGCCGCCGGCTCTCCGCGAAAAGAGAGGGTATCTTGGGCTTCAAATCGTCCTAAGCCGCCTATCCGACTCCTCTCTGGCACACACACACACACGAAACCACCAAAGAGGCGCTTGTACCCGGCTTCTGCTTTGTGTTGACCCCGTCCGGTTAGTTCCTACATCTCGTCTTACGCGTATTGTGGCTCTTCTAATCTATCTCGTCGACGTTTCAGCTGTTTTCGCAAGGCCCTCGGAGGCGAGGCCGGTCGTACATCGTCGCCGGGACGAAATACATACACACTATATTCCCACGGAACTGGTCATCGTGATACTTTCTGCAAGATACCTATTACCTAAGAAACGACATCAGTCACTATGGATCCCCAGTTCGATAACCAGGATTCTGAGGCGACCGGCGCCCAGGCCGCCGAAGAGGTGGAACATGGAACATTCAACATGGGAGGTCTTGCCCCTGAGTTGCGTGACATGATCTGGAGTCACTATTTCAATCATCCGGGTTGCATCATTTTAGTCCACATGGATAGTCCGCACCAATCTCAAGCTAATAGTAACGACATAACGTTCGGCCGATTCGCATACAGAGAGCCAAACCCAATCACCCTATCGATCAGCGCCATCGAGACCGATACAAATAAACCCTATGGCCCACGATATTCGTGCACGAATAAACAAGCTCATAGGACGGCTGGCAGAATCGGTTGGCGGCCCCTCGCCCACACCGACGTTACCCGGGGCTTAAACCCTCACTTGAATACAGTCCCCACCCAGCACGTTCCCGGACCTGTGCTGGTGCCGAGTAACTGGAATGACCATGTGCTTTACCCTATGGTAGCATTGGGCCGTATCCTGAACACCCTGTGCGACGTGCCATGGATCGGCAATGTCAAGACACTCGCGGTCAACTCGGGATACTACGATTTCCCGAATGTTCTGGATCAAAACAGCATGGTTAGACTTCTACAATCAATGCCGGGGTTAGAGAGGATTCTGATTGTCCTGAAGCCCCCTGTCCCGCTGCGGTCGACCGAGCCTACCGACGAGTTCGGCTTCGTTCAGGGCAACGACTATCTGCCGGAGGTGAAACAACACTTACACATGATCGATACCGATACCGTTGCCATGTCGCGATACCTCTCCGGATCCATCCGAGGGGCAGTGAACGATAGCGACCATCCGAGAGACATTCAGGTGCTGAGAGTCTGCGACTTTGGCTGCCGCTTTGACGACTCGCAGGACGCCTAGAGGTACGGCCACTCTTCGCCCGCCGCGTCTCACTGCTAACGAAGATCCAACAACGCCTGCAGTCCAAAATTACGATTATAGAGAATAGACAACCTGTTGTCGTGTCAGCAAGAGGTTCGGTCAGCCATACGCTTAGGTAATATTGCCGGAGGGGTGTGGTAGGATAGGAGGATAATAGGTGTGTGGCTGTAGCCTGTAGTCGGTCTTGCCGAGTGTCCCGCAGCCCGAGGGCTCTGAGACTGCAAGTGTAGCTAAGATGGTCATGGAAGCGTATTGCTTCAGGCCGTTCTCAGGGCTAGACCGACTTGGGGGTGGGACACCCTCAGTGTTGTAGGTATACATACAAACGTAGACGACTGCGTACGGGAAATAGAAATGGAAAAGGCTGGACACCACCGTAGCACTCGCACACCCACTGGGGCCGTGAAGACAGTTGTCAAGGCTGAGTTGTCAATAATTGTCTCAGACCTCACGCGTGACTGCATCCCATGTACTGGGAGCGGATGGCGGGGAAGTGCCTGAAACATTGATTCGCCCTGTAGGAAAATAGGAAAATAGAAAAGATAGGAAAAGGAGAAAAAAAAAGGGTGTAAAAAAAGAAATTGGACATGGGTCTCAGAGGAAGAGGGTGTGTTGCCTTATGTAAAATGCACACCCCCCTAATATCGTCTAGGCCGCCTTTTTTCTCCAGATCTTTAATATCTCGACGTTGCATACGCACGCAAGGCTCCGGCGAGGCGGTCGCGGAGAAAAGATCACCGGACCGCGCACGAGGCCGGCTTTCGAGAGTAGCTGGACGAGGGGAAGAGGGGGGAGACAGAGCCTGGCCACGAATGAGGGGATTGGGGGGGAGGCTGGCTTTCCTGCGTACAGATCACCGCGATCAATATGGAGTTCATATCGATCGCTCGGAGCGCGACCCCCTCGTCCGGCTGCGCGCGCCCGCGATCCTGCAGAGGGCACCTCCTTCATTCCTCACCGCCGGTTGTGCTGGTTGCTCACTTGCCGTCCATGGCGTCCCGGTTGCGCCGTCGGACGGCAGACAAGTCTGAGACAAATGTAGCCTGCAGGCCACGGGGCAAGGAGATCCTGCCCCAGACTCTTTTCGTCCTCTCTCTCTCTCTTTCTCTCTATCTCTCTCTCCTCCCGCGACACCCCCTTGGAGAGCGGATGGTAAGGCAGCGGGGCGGTAGAGGGGACATCTGGGCGCTAAAAAAGATATTCTGCCGTCGTGACGTTGCGGTCCTACGGCGCAGCTCCCATCGTGACCCTCGAGATGGAACCAGAGGAAACAGAACGAAAAAAAAAAAAATTAGCATCGTCAGGGTGCCGGCAGAGAAGGCGATGGTGTCCCTTGCACGTCTATACGGCCGACCTAGCCTGCCCGTCGACGTTACCTATCTGGTCACCTTGCCTGTCTGGCTGTCCAGTCCTACCACCCCAGGTCGATCAGCCGGCGGCTCGGCGGCAGGAGTTGCGGGGGAATATCTGTGCGGGCTAGGGATGAGGGCGGCGACGAGGGAGACGACAGGGGCACTCCTATTCTCGTTGGTGTCATCGTCGCTATTGCCGCGTCTGCCAGTGTTGCCGTTACCTGGCCTTGCGGGAGTAACATCCCCAGCCGGCAGCGGGGCCCGCAACGCAACCGAGCCGTGGAGGAACCAAAGGAGGGAAAAAAGAGAGAGGATCCGGGGAGAAGAGGCAAGGCCCGTTCGACGTCTTCGTCCTCGGAGGAGAGAGGCAGCAGTGCGAGGTCGCGCGAGCGCGCAGGGCGCACTCGCACATAACCTACTTACCTACCTATCTACCTAGGTATCTATCTAGGTACCTGAACCACATTGACATGCCTCTCCTTCTTCTGCTGGCGGTGATGCATCTTCGTCATCTCCTGCGGCTCCTGTGGCTCTCCTACCGCCCTCTGCTGGCCCCCCCGGCTAAATTCGCAGCGCACGCGGCGCCTTCGCCAGCGCGCTCCCATTTAGCCGGGCGCAACTTTTACCCTGAGGCCCCGAAGAGCCCGTCGGGAACGCGCCTGGGAGCCAGCATGTGGTGGCCCCAGGTGGCCTTGCCCTCCACGGCCTTACCTGGCCCTACTGCGTGCGTACGCGGCAGGGAAGCGGCAGCGGCAGCACACCAACAAGGGGGTGGCATGGGGTTTCGCGCGCCCCCCGGCCGTCCCCCTCCCCCCCGGTCTCCTCCCCCAGCTCGCCTGCTTCGTAGTACCCTGGAACCGATCACCCGGGATCCTGTTTTTTTTTTCTTCTTTTGTCCGTCGCTGACTCTTTTCGCCGCGGGACGGGACCGACGTCGCGAAGGGGCATGGAGGATGATGGGTGGATGCAGACGGTTGGGCGTAGGTATACGAATCTAGGTGTGGAGAGGCAGCAGGCCAGGGCCCTCCCGCTTCTCCCGCGCCGTCGCGCTGGAACCGGGGGGTTCTCGTCTCCTTTTCCCGTCTGCGGCACGCGCGCACGTATCGCACACGTACGTAGGTACGTAGACCAACGGGCAAGACGCGGCCATCCATCCTCTCTCTGTCCCTGTCCCTCTCACTCTCTCCATCTAGGTATAACACGGCACATACGTGCGTAGGCGGCGTGGGTATAGATAGAACATGCGGTTTTGCGCACCAACGACGGCCAGGCCGCGGCCAACGAGCCAACGACAGGCTCTCCTCGCTGCATCTCGCATCTCGGCGCGCGCGCTCAGGGTGCGGGTGTTGGAGCGGCGGGAAAGGGGAAAAGGGGGCCAGGAGAGGCCCGAGAGGAAAGAGGCAGATGGGCTCCAACGAGAAGCCGTCTCGACCCTGGGCTCATTACTCAAAAATAACCAGCGTATATTATAGCCAGCCTGCAGGGGCCGCGCCGGATGGGCGGGCGGGCGTACGTAGGGACTTTCGTTTCTCCTTCCCCTCTCTGTCTCTTTGCATCCGCGTTCCCCAGTATCCGTTTTTTTTTCCTGGGGTGCATATGAGGTTGTTCGGTATGGCGGCCCAGAGATCTGCTCTGGTAACGCTGCGGTCCACCAACGGTACCACCTTTGAATATCGTCTTCATTTTATTGTAATTTTTGTAGAATTTTTTATTATTTCGAGAATTGTATTCACCCATTATTTTTTCGACTACATCGAGACGACGGAGCTAGGATGAATTCACCTTTCTTCTTTTTTTTCTCCTTCTGTCGTAACACGGCGCGTGTTCACGAAGCCGGGCCTTCTTGAAGTCTAGACCGGGAATCCCCCTATTCGGGCGTCGTAGCATCGACTCCCCTCGCCCGGATCTACAGTATACAGCACTTACATATAATCGAACGAGAAAGAGAGACCCTTCAAGTGCCATCGTAAGGCGATTCGTGCTGTGCCTCAGTGCCGGTTGGGAGGAATCCCGCGTAACCGGCTGGCCCCTGTACGTGGTTGGAGAAGGTGGCGTTGCCTGCTATAATTAATTACCTGCCTACTCGGTGAAAGGGAGATGACGGCTAATGGTCGACGACGGTACGTCGACACATGACGGCGACACCCCTCTATACCCAGGGCCGGAATCTACTTGGAGTCGTCGCCCCCTTCACCGGGAGTCGCGAGAGGCCGCAACCTGCAGGTGTAGCATAGGCCCATCCATTCCTGCTCGGTCTAATAGACGACCTCCCTGCTCCCGTTTCACCGCGGGGTACAGGAGGAACGATTATCTCGGGGCCAGCTACTGTAAGCGGTATGTTTGCACGAGCCTCTCGCCATCGCGTGACGTCCGGGTCTCAGCTAAGTACTTCGCGGCCATGACACATCGTTGGCGCGGACGGGTGAGACGCTCGTTCCCGGCACGAGCCTTTGTCATGAGGCTCGACAGCTAACTGCGAAATGTAAGATGCTCTGCCTGGCCTGCGATCGTGAGAGCCGCTGCTGTAGGTATATAACAAGCCGCAGGTAACGAACGGGGAGCACGCGGGCACGGTTATACGTAGGCTTCTAAGTCTCAGTCAGATCTCTATCCCTCGGCCGATGTCTCTCAGGATGGGTAGAACCAAGCCGACTTGATCCTAAAGAGGCTGGCGTTGGAGAGTTGTGCTAGCATCTCTACGACGTAGCACCAGAAAAACGCGAGCATCGTATCTTCGTCGCTACGAGCCAACCAGCACTGTCGGGGTAATTTAACCGCACCCCTACGTGTGATATGGCAACTCACAAAGGTCCCGCGAAATTCGCTCGGTCCTTAAAGAATAGCCGCTGGTTCGACGGCCAGCCGCATGTGCCGCAGCAGACGGTCTCGTCTATTTCAGATTGTTCGCGATAGCCCCCCTTTCGCGATCGTCGTCGCCATTTCCCCTTTCTCTTCCTCAACTTCTTCACCTTCAGTCCGGCTCCCACCGCTGCTGGTGGCGGGGATACGTGAGTGGACCGGTGAGAACAGCCTCGGACCGGACTGGGACTGCTCGGCGACGTGAGTACGGGGACGTGCATCGTGCGTCGGTATAGTTAGTTTGTGCGTACTAGGGAGGTAGGTATATCGAACGAAGCGGTCCCGACGGGTAGATTGGACAGCTCGGGCGCCATGTTGCGATCTCTTCCCACGCGGCGAGTAGGGTGCCTGCGATCTGTGGCGCCGACTAGCGGAGGCCATTGGCTGCGTTTCGGAGATGGGGGGGAGAGGACCTCTCGTGAAGAAGCAGTTCGGGTAGCTGTTGTCGCATCGTCCCCGTTCCTAGCGTAGGTCTAACCCCCCCCCTCTCTTCTCCTTCACCCCCTGGTATGGCTTGTGTTGTACTTCCCACCCCGAGCACAACGACGACAACAACGGAGATGAAGACGCTACGGGACATGAATCGCTGACCGGTCCGGGTCTGACCAATGCCGCGAGGCCCAATCACGACTGCGCAATGTCCGTTCCCACAGGTCCATCGAGATGAAAGACAGATACGGAGTAGGACGAGCTGCTAACTGGATGAGGTGTGCTGCTGACCATCTAGTGCGATGGCTTTTGAGACCCTTGAAGACACACCGCGTCGTAGCCCGGGGTCCCAGGCGCTGAGTTGGCCATCTAACATGCCTATCTGAATAACGTGATAAGGGACGGCCCGAGTAGTCAGGCCCTAGGCAGCCCGCTGCGCCGTATCTTGTCAGCAGGGTTGAGTAGCCAGGAGGAATCGCTGTAGGCCGTTGGGGTCTCAAATCACTCCTCCCCCTCCTTCACCCTCTCCCGGCGCACTGCTATCACGTATTACCCTCAGTTTCGTCGAGTCCGCAGAGGAAAGCTGACGGTGTCCGCTATTGCTAGTTTCCGGGTGCGAATCCGCACCAATCCGCTTTGTGGTCGAACCAACGTGAGGCGGGTTCGTCAGCACATAGATCGGCCTTGGCCGTCAGCATCCATACGACCCCACGAATAGATAGGTAATCCCCCTTTCGGGACGAGTGGGGTGAAGGCTGAGCTGAACGCTGGACTGCCCACGGGGTCGACACCCCGAGATTTCTTCGTCAGACGCCTCTCTGGTGGGAAAGACGAGAGAGGGGCACAGAGGGAGCGGAGGCGAGATTATCAGATGCGTAAATGCAAGCAACGTGTGCTTAAATCTAACCCGCATACGAGGAGGGGCAGACTAATTGGCAGATCAACCGCGAGATCCGCCTGTAGGACTTCAAGACCTGCGTCGTCTTGATTACCCACTTCCACCGCGCGCTGTCGAGCCTGTCGCCGTCGTGATCTTCACTACGCTTTACGTGACGATGGGGTCAACTCAGACCTCGGCGTCCCCTAGTCCTCACCGCGTTGTAACGGCGACCACCCAACATCATCAGATACCAAGCGACTGACCCGAAATACCTACGTTTGTGCAAACAACTCCCGGTCCGTGTAACCACCATGGGCGACGTGATCCCCAACGGTGTCGACCTGTGAGCGCTGCGCACCCACCCGTGCGTTCTTTGGGGATAGCCTAGCTACAACATACCTACCTGCCGCGCTGTCGTGCCCTCTGGAGAGAGCCCAGAGAAGCGGCAAAGCCCCGATTCTCGCCCAGGGCGGAGGGATGATGGGAGGATCCTTGCGCCGCACTGGATCGAGCCGTTTGTCGTCGCAGACGTATGATGCCTATGCCACCCGGGAATAGCACACGTAGCTACCTTGGCTAGCCTTCCTCGACGATATAATCCTGGGCCCAACGTCTTGGGAGGTCCTCGTGAGGAAGAGACAAAGCAGAGAGACAGGTTGCCACGGTCATCAGAGAGGAAAGCCTGGTAAGGAGCCGCACAGGGCCGTAGGCCGCGCTGACATCGTGGTGGAGGGGTCGACGACCATCTCAATGGCGCACGCTGTCACGAGTAGATCGCTGTTAGCGGATTTTCTATTTACGATTCCTCGTCATGGCCAAAAGTCCACTGGCAGGAAGAGAAGCACGATGGAAAAGAGGGTGGATGAAACCCTACGAAACAGGAACACGTCGCGAGGCGGTCCTCTGTATTAGGTGAGCCAATATATTGAGCGTTCATCGTCTGGATAGGATGACTCTGTAGGGTAACCTTTTACCTTCGGACGTAATGCCTACCAGGGCTGGCTGGTAAGAACCACATGACAGCAAAAAGGGGAGGTCAACGTTCATCTGAAAGAGGTGGAATGCCTTCCGGGTATCTGCAGCTACGCTCGCCCACGTAGTATTCTCCTCGACGGTAATCTCTCCCACCCGTTTCCCGGTAGGGCCCTCACGGACGACAACCAATGATGGCGACCTTCCTTTCATGCGGTGTCAAAAGTCCTCCTCCGCTACACCACACGCATATACACACACCCACACACCCGCGTACTTCCACTTACTCACACTCGCTCACTCGCATACACACAGTTACCTATCGTGTGTAGGTACATACATGTCTAGGAAAGGGGAAAATGGGAATCTTGTTCGCGTAATAACCGCTAGCTCGTCCACCAGTCCAGTAACACGGCCGCAGAGGTCGCATTCTGCAGGTCGGTAGAAGGCCCCCTCCCCTCCTCCTCTAAGAGGAAGAAGAGGTGGTGGAGGAGGAGCAAGAGCGAGAAGGGCAGAGGAGGAAGTAGGGGGGGGGGGGGAGGCAGATGGGACGAGGAGGAGGAAGAGGTGCTTACCTCGAACGCGCCTCCAGTCGCGATGATTCCAGAGACTTTTGCATCGTGACTCGCAGGATTTGCATGTAGGTAATAAGAATAATATTAAATAAGCTCTCGCGTAGCAGACCCGAACCTCCCCCAGCCAAACCCCCATATGCAGCGCTACGTCTGACCCCGGCCTCCTGTAGTAGATGCCGAGGTGGACGATATGCGGTCGTGCAGTTCGCACATGAACTTCTGCGCTGTTCCACAAAATGCCGCTTATCTACTGACTGGCTGGGGGGGGTAGGAAAGCCCACCTCGCGGGGCAGAACGGATGACTCCGAAGGCAGCGAGACGCGCGCTCTCTCTCGCTCTCTCGTTCTGCCTATCTCCCATGCAGGTCTCGGGGCGCAGACAGACTTGAGCAACTGACTAAGTACGTAAGGAAATGGTTCCCGGACGAGAAGGAGAGCGGGAGGGTTGAAGGAGAGACAGCGTTGGAGGCAGGCAAGTAGGCAGGCGGGTTTTTGGCTGGCTGGCTGACGATGATTTTCGTGGAGGCGGAGAATAATAGAAGCCACTGGCATTAAAAATCTACTGTTATTTTATCATGAATATATCTGAATTTAAGGATTATTAAAAATCGATTCTTGTTTTTTTTTTGTCTGATGCATACGCTCGCACTCACACATCTACACACTCTCACAAAGGCTTACCTATTATCGAGTTATTCTCTAATACTGACTTACATGGTGTTCCTTTCGATTCCCTGTATCATGGAGGATTCCCTTCGGCAACCCACGTGGTAGCACTTAACAAATAACCTCATCCCGTTTCAGTTGTCGAGGATCAAGATCCCCAGTCCGCACGCTACGGAGAGCAGGGCTTATGGGAAGGGAAGGATGATGAACAGGAAGAAGCCGTCCTTCTCAACCCCCTCCGAGCCCTGCTAAGGATCCCCAGAGACAGGGACGGGGTACACATGCTACGTCCCATACATAACCAGTTGGCGTAGTAGGCGTGCCTAAGGTACATTGCCAACACCAACGAGGGAAATTGTCCACGGCACGTCACATGGGGGAGGCGTCGCCAAATTCCGTATGCACTACGGGATATGCACAGTCTGCGCATGTCGACGACGACGCGGTGCCGAAACTCCAAGATTAGATGGAGAGACGAGGCGATGGACAGATAGATAACGAAACTCCGAGAGGACCGAGGGGAAGAGAGGCGTGTGACCCGATGCGATCCGATCGAACAAGTGATAGTCGGCCAAACAAGCAATTCCATGTGCAGACGAGATGCGCAGCTGCGCATCTATTTGTTCCTCCGGCGCTTCTAACGGGCCAAGAGTCGATATTTTGGGATCCGAACAGATGGTGCTAGACAGATCTGTACTTGGACGTGGGATGGCTGCTCTTGGCGGGATTTTCGTAGGTATCCTTTTCTCGTCTCGGCGATGGGACAAAAGAGCTGCCGCCTAACTTGAGGCTAATGCCAATCCTGCCGGCTCAACCCACGTAGAGAGAGCGTTACAAGACACTTGACCAGACACTTACACACGCAACACTTACACGCACGATAGCCTGCTGACTTGACAACACGGGCGCCACTGACCTACGTACGCATGTAAGAGTCTATGAATGGAGGCACGCATGCAATGCGACGAATGCCTTCTGGCGCAAAGAGACAATATGACGAGGACCCGGCCGTCGTCACGAGCCCACTTCGGTCGTCCCCAAATTCCGCGTCGCCTCGAATTATTTCAATGCCAGCATCGTGAGAACACGAATAGATCGATGGCGACTCCCGCGACCACCACCACCACCACCACCACCATTACCCACTGGGTCCGGTCCAGCCCAGCCCTGCCGAGTCCAGCCCAGCCTAGCCCAGCCCTTTTTCGAAGAAGAGGCGATGGAACAAAAAGAATAATAGTAGCCGCGGCCGTGGCTATAAAACAGATCCTCCCCAGCTGACCCCCGCTGACGCAAGCAGGACATAGTAAGGGGAGAGAGAGAGGGGGGGAAGGGGGGGGGGGTGAGTTGCCCAACCAAACTCCAACTCTCTAGAAGGCTCGCTCGCTCGCTTATTTTGATTGACAATGCCGGAAAACTGGTGAGCGATCAGACGATATTTGGAGCAAATGTCGATACGTACGGCCTACCTGACCACCCCCTTCGAAGGGGGCTCGGGGGCGCGCTTCGTGTAGGTACCTATAGGTAGCAGCCGGAGAGGCCGGACGGTAATAGACACAACCACCACCGGGCCTGACTACCTATCCAAGGTACCTATCCTCTCCATGCGCGCACCCAGTACGCGCGACGGTAAGTCAACTTGCCTCTCCCTGGAGAGCCAGACGAGCCGAATAGCTTAGCAATCTTATGCGTTTGCGCGAGAGGTCTCGCGCGCGCGCACGCGCACCCTGCGCCGCACGGCCCCGGCGACGTTTTCAGCAACTTCTCAGGCTTGGGGTGTCCTTTTCTTTCTCTTCCCCCCTCGGCCTCGTGAAGGTCGCGTTGCTCGCTGCTCGCTCGTGTGTCGGTGGAGAAGGTGACATTAGCCCTAGCGACCTGCGTGCACACGTAGAGACGTCTCTCCTTCTTCTCTAGGCCTCCCTCCCTCCTGGCTCTACGTAGACACTCGCATCGTCCTCACCGGCGCATTAGGTAGCGGGGGGGGAGGGGGGGAGGGGGGGGTTGGAGTTCGCGGGCGAGAGACGGAGGGACGGGGACGGGCGGCTGTGCGCGAGGGCAAATCTGCAATCGGAGGCCGCTGCTGCCGCCGCTGCAGACTGCATCGCCCGCCCGCGAGGCTCGTCGACGCTGTTAGTCTTCACCGTCTTCGTCATCGTCTCGCTGCGGCGCAGACGGCGGTATCCAACAACCTACCTACTAACACCGCCACCATCACCACCACTAACAGCCCCCCCCTTGCCCCCCTTCCACCCCCCCTTCTTCTTCCTCGCCGGCGAGCCAAACGAAACGAATCCAACTACCCATCTGTCAGTATCTACCCGGTGGACCGCCCCGCCCGCCCCGTCCGCCTTCCCGCGCGGATCTTCGTCAGCGAGGGATCTCAGATCGCTCGTGTTTGTGTTGGTGTTGGGGCGGGCGGGCGGACAGGTCACACACCTCATCTCCAAACCTTCCCTCCCCCTCCATCCCCCCCCCTCCTTTTTCCCCGCGCCTCCCCGAGCCTTGGTGGTGCGGCAGGGAGGCGAACAGCGTAAAGGGTGCAACGCTTCTTAGGTCGAGCGAAAGTCGGTCAGCGACGCGCATCGAGCAGCTAAGACTCTCTCTCTCTCTATCCATCTATCTATCTCTACACCGACCTGCGCGCACAGCCAAAAGGGAAAAAAGAAAAAACCCTGGCCGGCCTGATCTGCGCGCCCGCCCGCCCGCCCGGCGGCGACATCGCGATCGAGATCAGAGGAAGGGGGGCGTCCGTGACCGCTCATCAAGCAGTGCTCGTTCTACCTAGCCCACTTACCCGAGTTATTTCCCTACTCCTCCGGCTGCTCTCTACCTCGCACGCGCGCAAAAAAAAAAACACGAAGCCACCACGCATCGCCTCTCCCTCTCCCTCTCTCTCTCTTTCCTTCTGTCCCTCTCCCCCCCGGCCGCGCGTGCCCTCTCGTCGACACGCCACCGATCGCGCGCGCGCTGGCCTCGCCCCGACCGACTGATCGGCTCGGCCGGCGGCCGGGAGCGCGCCGCACCCGCCATCCGCATGATGTGTGCGGGTAACGTGTAGGGGCGGTTGTCTCTGGGGACCTGGGTAAGATTGGTAAGGCGAAGGTGCCTAGAGTGCCCATCACACACACACACCACACACACAACTCAACACGCAGACACAACACACACGCACACACGCGTACGCACGTACGCCGGCGAGCGGTAAGCGGGCGAGCCAGCATCACCCTTCGACGCTGCCGGAGACATACATACGTGCCGTCTACGTGGGCATGTGGCTGCTTTCACGGATCGAGAACGTGGGCGAGGAAATGAATCAAATCATAATATATATATATATATCTGCACATGTTGTAATATATTATTATTATTATTATTTCGTTTGATTGGATTTATTGCGTATTTATCGATATCTATATTCCTATTTATCTCCCACCCTCGAATATGTTGGTGCAATTACATGTACAATTTCTTTAATATTTCCTTTTCCTTTTTTTCCTTTTCGGAAAGATGTTAGAGATAGGTATGTACTTATTCACAGGTGGATGTATTCGCGTATCCCCATACATACCTACCATAGCCATCAGCCTACTCTACAACACCCAACGCGCGCCAACACCAAATCCCATCCCCATCGCCCGCCCACGCACGCACGCAGCCTCCCTGACACGATCTTACGCTCCCCTCTTCTCTGCCTCGCCCCGCAGCCTCGAGGAGGAGACGCGAGAGAAGCCGGCGAAAACTTCGTCCCCGGCACCCCGAGGTCGCATTTCTTAAGCCGGGGGAGGGGGGAGGCGAGGACCTTTTGCGATTCCGGGGGCTGGGGCGAGAAAGGGGGGTGGTAAAAAGGGGGGGGGGGGTTACTCAGCGGGATAGGCGGCGGCGGCGGGGGGGAGATGGGGAGTACGGTGTTACGGCGCTTAATTCCATTTACCTATAGTACGTATTATCGACATGTCGAGTCGCACCGTATTGTCCATTTCCTACCCCCGTGTGTATGACTGCATGCCCGTCGTCGAGAGTGAGCGCGGGGAGACCCGAACTCGGTGAGCACGAGGCTTATTATGGCGCGCATACGGCATGGATGTATGTACTTTATCTACCTATATCTGTCTGGGATGCCTGTGCCGTGCGTATACGTACGTACCTACCTGCACCCATACGCAGCCGCAAGCCGCAAGGACTGCGGACCGCCAGCGTTGGTTGGGGCTGGCGAGCCCCAGCCGGCCAGCCAGCCAGCCAGCCAGAGCCAGCACACATGCCATCAAAGTCCGTCCGTCATTCCGTCGCTCAACTTTCGCCGCTCCCACCATCCCGCGGCGTGGGGGTGTGTGCCTGATAGAAAAAGCCCGGGAGAAGAAGAAAGGGGGAAGCCGAAGAGGAACGTGTCGGCGATCCCTTCTTCCCTCGTGCCTCGTGTGTGTCTCTTCCTCCCGGTCCCGACGCGAACGGGTGCACGTAGGTATGTAGGTCCTCCATGCACGTACCTACGTACGCAGGTAGGCAAGGCAGGTGTTATGTAGGTCAGGTCAGGTCAGGTCAGATCAGCTAGCAGCAGCACCCACGATGGCTCCTCGTCGCGCCGTTCGAACACGTCACATCTCACAGTCGTGCCAGCGAGCGCGCACGCGCGCGCACACGTTTCCCCAGCTCGCAAACTCGCAACTGGCGACAACGTACGGGGCGAGGAGGCGTTTTCTTCGCTCTGACGACTTCCTACGAGGCCGGTTCAGGAGACGAGTCACGAGCGCGCTTTGCGCCTGGTGCTGGCCGTCGCGTCCGTTTGAACGTAAGACGATTGATGCGACGCCAGGCGATAGGGGCGGTTTTCTTGGCCTTTAAGGGGAGAGGCCAGATGGACCGGCGGGCTGGACGGGCTGGCCCGGTAACTACCCAATGAGAATGCGCGACGACCTCGGTCACGGTGAGGTTCTACACATACAACGTAGTATATATATATATACGTATATATGTATATATATCGCTAGGGAGGGGTGGGTAAAAGAAGAGCGCCCCCCCCCTCCTTAAAAGGCGATGTTGATAGGTAATGTTGGTCTAAGGTAGCAGTGGTCATTATGGTGGTAAAGTTGGCAGATCGGAGTTGAGGCGACGGCTTTTCGGACTAGGTAGCAGCGCCGAACAGTAATAATAACCCTAATAATAACAATAATAGGCAGAGGCGATAGTAATAGTGAGAATAATAATAATCATAATAACCAGCAGCGATACGTTGGAACGAGGGCCTGGACATCCGCGGCGGCGAGGTCAGCGAGGTTTCGCGCCAATGAGGGTACGAGGACTCGTTGCGCATGACCAACATGGACTTTTTTGGGGGGGGCTTCCCTCGCTACACGTCCCCCTCCCCCCCCCTCCGCACCACTACCCGAGAATGCTCGCAGCTCAATTCCCATCACTGATTACCCTTCCTCGCCCAGGGGGGAGCTGCTGCCACCGAGCAAGGAGAGATAACAGCTCCCACCAAGCGAGGAAGGATGACCAGGAATGGGGATTGACGTGCCAGCATTCTCGGATAGCGGGAGCTATTGGGTCGGGATGAGACCGAGAGACCGAGAGACCAAGGCCCCCCTCCCCCCCGACCAATTCCCCTCGTGTCATCCGTCCGGCCATCGTATTGGTAGGAAAAAAACAAACGAGGCGACCGAGTAGAAAACAAGGAAGGGATTCAAACCGGAAAAGGGGGGACGAGAATATCGAAATTACCTGGCTGGCGGTATGCAGCGCTGTTTCGAATTCGCCATGAAGCAAGCGTAAGCGCAACCTGGGGTCGCAGGGCAGGATGGGGAGGGCTGATCACGCCCCTCGACTCAACCGGCTCGTACCTGAATCAATCTTGTCCCATCGCGGGCAATGCTTCCCAAAAAATCCGCCCTCCCGCCTCCCCCCCCCCCCTCTGCCACCCACCGCCTCCCCGGCGGTGCATCGTGCTGGCTTGTCTCGTGTGGCACACCATGCACGCCTCTCCCCGAGCCGAAAGAAGTAAAAAGAAGAATGGGAAGAAGACCGGGAGGGGCAAGCAGATCTCGTCGCTGGCCGCTCTCGACAAAAGAACGGCCCCTCCGAGGTAGGGAGCCAGGGAGAGAGAGGGAGGGAGGGAAGACGTGATCACGGGGTAGGCAGGCTGCCCCTCCCAGAAAGGAACACCCACCAGCAACTCGTTCCGAATCGGGCGAGTGCGCGTGCTCGGCGATCAGATTTCAGTTGATCCTGTTCGGGAACCGAGGGCCGAAGAGGCAGAGAAGAGGAACGAGAGAGAAAATGATGGAAAAAAGGGCCGGAAACCAATAATAAAATGATGCTATCCCGAGAATGCCTATAAGTTCTCTAGGCCTTATCGTACCTAACTGCAGAGTCTCCGATAGCGAAACCAGCCGGGAGAGGAGCCGCCTACCTACCTACCTATGTTGTTACGCATTACAGTAAAAACAAAACGGAAAAAAAAAAAGCTCGCCAGAACTCCCGAAGCTTGCTTGCGTAGGGCGGCTTTTCAGCAAATTCGATGGAGCGCAGCGGAGCGACTCGACGCGCATATCCCCGATGCGCCTCTCTCGCTTATATCGGATGGCAGGTGTGTAGAGGGTGCGCGTGCACCCTCCGCTCAATCGCCAGGCCAGCGGTGACGAGCACGGAATGCTCGATAAGCGCCGATGATGAGGCCAAGAGAAACGCAGCCCCCAAAAAGGCTACAAACGACGTATTCCTGGGGACGAGACTTGCCAAATCCTCTCTTCCCCCCCTTCCCTTTCCCCTTCCCCCCACCCCACTCCATCCCACACAAGGACGTGAGAATCTAAATGGACCGACGTTCTCCTCTCTTCCTCTTCCTCCTGCTCACAGGCCTGACCCTAGGGGGAGCAAGGGGGGCTTTTATTGCCGAGCAGGGCTGAGGAGGGGGGGCGTTGTCCAGACATACTACGTAGTATGTACCAATTGGCCGCGGCATGCTGACTGGGGCGGGCGACGTCGCCGTGCCACACGCCGAAGCACATGCAAATGGACGGGCAGACCCCGGCGAAGCCACACACGCTGCCGCCACTAGACCCGAAGAGAGAGAGGGGAGCGAGAGAGAGATCGGCGACGGAGGAAGAGGACGAGACCCAATCCCGCGCACGCCATAGGGCAAGCATCTCTAACGGGTAGGTAAGTCGTAGCAGCATTGGCGAGGGATCAGTTGCGAGTCTTACGCTAGGCGTCGTCGCCGCAGCAAGCGTGTCTGCCTGCCTGCTCCGCGACACGTGCGGATTCTCGTGTGGGCGTTGTTTTGGGGAGGGGGGAGGTTCGAGTCGATTGGCGAGCGTCGACTGGTATCCAAAACCGAGGGATTTTGAACAAGGGGGACGCAGTCGTCCTCCCAGCCGCAATGATTAGATTGGGGAGCGAGCATTGGCCTGTCTGCTCGTCGCCGTGGGACAAAATAGGCCCGTCTCTCTCGTGACCTTACAAATCACCGAGGGGGCGTGTGTACGAATATGCCCGTCCAGAAATTGCTCACCGCGATCGTGACTGGCCTTCCTCCCCCGTCGTAGTTTGATTCTTTTTTTTCCTGGGGGGGAGGCGACGGCTGTCATGGCACGCCCGGGGCATTTCCCCGTAGGTATCCCTTTCTCCCGGTCCGCCGTTCGCCCGAATGACGGGCGCAGTGGCCCTCCCTGCTTACCACAACGCGGAGGAGACGAGAGCGTCGCGAGGTCGCGTGAGCGATATGTACTTGTGGCGAGTCTTGGTCGTAAAGGAGACCCAGAATACCCAGGCACTGGCTCCTCCGTCCTAGGTGCCGGCAGGCCTGGTGGAGGCGGACTCGCTACCAGAGTGGCCAGCGTGCGGACCGACTTCCCAAACTGGATCTCCGTTATGGGTTCAGTTGGGTGGTGCGCCGTCTCGTGAGCTGTCCAGACACACGGTAGCCTGGCTACGTGAGTAAATTATGCAAAGCATAAGTATAGTAGGTTAATCGATAGGTAGGTAGGCATGTATCCATGCTGATAAGGAGGTCAGCTGTGTCCGTGGCTCTGGTAGCGTCGCTAATCGGATTAAAGGCTGGAATCATCGAGAAAAATACAGGATACACCTTATGGTAGATGGAAATCCCCGCGAAAAGGCCAGCCGAGAGCAGCAACGCACTCACATGATTCTGGGGGCCAGCGGGGTCCCTACGTCTGGGGCAGGATCCGGGGTATAGACCTGCGTGTGTAGGTATGTATGCGCGGCTCCAACTCCAGGTCGATCGATCCCAACGTCCCCGGCCGGTGGGTTTCGATGGATGACAAGAGAAACGGGGAGATTCGTCCTGCCAATGCTCGAAGGCTCTCTGCGCATTGTGAGTTGACTGGCTGATGCTGCGTGAATCCATAGCGACTTGACCTAGGTAGTAAGTCGCATGCAGGGTCCACGCCTGGAGGGTCTCTTGGCCTGCCGAAGCTGGGAAATCTACTCAGTAACAGTTGGACGCGGGGGCAAATGTCGCCCGTAATCCCTGACGCTCACAGGCAGCCAATCTACCGATTTGACCACCCGGGCGACCGTGCCGTTGCTGAATTCCGAACTCAGGACTTCACGAGGTCTGAGAAAGTCGCCACGTCTAAGTGCTCTTTCGCCCCCATGTCGGGATTTGGGGGTTGAGACTAAGAGGATAGCTAAGATCTGGGGAGATCACGTTTCTGCCAGCAGCTGGTGCGGCCTGCATGGAGAGGAGGACCACGTGAAATTCCCCTCTAGCTCTTGGGGGGGGGTCCTCTTCGTAAACTGGATCGTGATGTGGACCTGTGCTAAGGCCGTAGTCATGCCGACAGCAGCTTCGGTGCAATGATAGTCCCCCCCTCGCTCCTCGCTCCTCTTCCCCTCTTCGGATATTTCTCCATGCCCGCGCATCGCGTGTCCATAAAACTAAGGCCGCCTAGGGCCAAGCCGTCGCGCGGCATTGCGTAGGCATGTTACCGGTCGGAGATGGGAGAGGGAGAGAGTCACGTAGCTGAGCCGCAAGGCGAGAGAGACTCCATCGGGACCGTAGCATATGCCAAATAAGGCTGGCTGGCCCGGCGGCAGCTCTCGCATACGCAATTCAAATTGCACGCGTGTGCGTACGGGGCTGCCTGTGCGAGACGAGGTGCTAATTAATGGGGAGGGGGAGCCGACAAAACGAGGCAACGCGACCGGGGCGCGACAGGTCTAGAATTCCGCAATGCCCCCCCCATCCACGGACCACGACCAAGGATCCCAGTGTCGCATTTTCAGGGTCCATCCCACCTCTGCCAACGGCTGTGGACTCCGAGCGGCCCCGAAGTTCCAACAGGAAGGAGAGACGAGGGCCTCCGGGCATTTGGTCAATTTGAAACGATACAGAGGACGAGAGACGAAGGGGGGGGGATCTTGCGAGCTGTCCCAACGTGTGTTTGTTAGGGAGGCAGGTCGTGTATAAGCGTGTACGTGTATGCCTATGCACGTGAATTTGAGCCTAGGTAAGGTGCGGAGGGCAGTCGGTTATGTGGAGATGAGTCTGCGGAGGAGAGGGAGAGGCTAGCCGACACTGGCTTGCCGCCGTTGTCTGATGAGTCCCGATGATGTTATGAAGCACCGTTGTCTCACACCTATGTATTTTCTCGGGACTATTTCATTACCCTAGACTTCCCAAGCTAGGTTAGGCAGAGAAATGAGGCCGATACGGCAGGCCTCCACCGAGACGCTTGTTGGGGGGGGGGAGGCAAGGTGGATGTTAGTGCTGTGAAGCTCACCTCGGGTATTCACCGAGCAAGACCGAAGCTATCCCCCTCCGACAAATTGAACCAAAGACATACCTCTAGCTAAGACCCGGGTAGTAGTGCCTTATCGAACGTGCCTAGTTTTCACTAAGTTGCATTTTCATTTCGTTTTTATTACTCCCGGTTGTTCTTCTGAATATTATTGCTAATTTTTTTTTTCATTGGTTGGCTGTTGCAGCACCCTGCTGCAACCGAAAGCAGGTATGCACTCGCATACTCTTGACGCGTAGGTAAGCAGTGGGTATGCCGATGCGAGCAACCCGGGTTAGGTACTCGATGTTAGTGTCTGTATCTCTCTCTCGCCTATGCGAAGTCAGCAACGACGGAAGATCGCTTAGACGTGTGGGTTTTGCAGTGCGACAGCGCGTTGTTGGGCCTGCGTGCTATCCAATGCCCATACCCGGGCTATATGTGCAGGTAACATCTAGGTAGGTAGGTACCTAGGTATGTATGGATGTGCATACAACCTACACTATCTAGGTACGTAGCTGGCAACCGAAACAACCTCCTACTCGTCACCTCGCTCCCTCGCCCCAGCGAAGCGAGGTGTAATTCAGGCATACAGAGACCCTATCGGATCTGCGAGGTGTCCCGGAAGGCGTGCACATATCACGACCTCGTCATTTCTCATATCCCATCTCGGGCAGGTGCAGCGTACACCGTCTGCGAATGCGTAGGTGGGCATGTGCATACTCATACGTATATCTACCCATACGTGTGGAAATATGTACGGCCGCGGAGCGGGGGGGGCTCCCTTGCCTGCGGCAGCATCGTAGTGAGCCAAGCGGGAGGGGTGGGCTGGATGGGACCTATCTAACCTCCGGCGAGGGGCGCGACGCAGTAGCTACACATGTATGCATATCAGATGGCAGACGTGACGATCTAGGCAGCGAGGAGCAGATAGTGTATGCACACCGAGCACAACACGATACGATCCCGTTGCGAAGCGATGGGCGTGTTTAGGAGTCCGCTCTGCATGGGAGGGAGGCGGACGCTGGGGCGGACGTCGAGGAGCGCGGGGCGTGGCGACGTCGAGGAACCCTGGTCGTGCGTCAGCATGATCTGGCACACACGCAAATCGCGGCTCGGAATGGGGACGGAGAAGGGCGGAGAGGAGGCAAAAAAGAAAGTAAGTCGTGCATGCCGGGGAAACGAGACGCTGGGAGATTGTCCCGGTCGCTTATCTCCTGTCTGGCTGAAATTAACTCCTCAAAAAGAAAATGAAGCCGGAAAAGAAAAGGAAAATAATCATAATAACCATAATAATACCTAATCATCGCCACAATTAAACACCTTCGCTAGTTGCAGCATTATGGTTGGCCGCCACAGACGGCTTGGAGGCTCTTAGACTGCCTCCGAAGTAGGTCGGGCCTGACCCAGGTCCTTACCCATGATAGATACTTGCGCTATAGCACGGAACACCGACTCAACTAGAAGGTATCACTTATCAGGGCGACGTGTGTGGTTCAAAGCTGACAGAGCTCCATATCATATATTGGTAACTCTTCGTCTGTCCTGACTCGGTAAGTCGAACTGGGGACAGGTTGTTGAACGTATACAAGAGCCGGCTTACACATGTTGAGGGAGTTGGGATTGGTAACGCCAACCTGCCAGTGTCCCCGGCGGTCTAGCAGCGGATTGCAGGATGCACGGGGATCGAAGGAGGAAAAGCAAAGCTCGGAAAGGCAGAGGGGGAGGAGAACAAATTGATTAGTATTCTCGTATTGTTGTTTTTAGTATTTTTAATATACTAAAAATTAATTTTTATTTTAAAAAAAATCGTAAATTTCCGGAGTGCCTAAGGAATAAGAATAAAAAGAAACTCTACGGCCAATTTGACGGAAACAGGAAGTCATGCCGCCGGCGTTGCTACTAGGTGGTGATGAGGCTGACCTGGTAAACAGGAGCTAAAAGCTTCCGCGGCCGGGACGAAGGCCACTGCATGAAGGACCATCCCAACTAGCTGCGACGGCTGCGCGACCTGGCGAGAGCTGACGTGCGCATTCCTGCCATATTGGAAACTCTCTCAGCTATCTCGAGAGGCGACGGCTGCCAGCTAACTGGGGCCCGAACACGAATCCCCGACGCCCGCTCGTCCGCGCAAGCGGCGACAGAAGTAGTGGTGGTGGTAGTGGTAGTGGCGGCGGCGGCGGCGGCGGCGGCGGCGGTGGTAAGTGGTGCTGAAATCTACCGTGCGAGAGTGAAAGCGAGAGCCGCGATGAGCCTCGGGATATCTCAGATCGGCGTCAGCCCTTGCGCTGGCCAGCCCGGCAAGTGTGTAAACGGGTGCTAATGCCTACGTACTACGCATATACATTCGTAGAAGGTAGGCAGCAAGATACCTGGTAGAT